CCGTCGTATCGGCCTTTATATTTAGGCTACAAGTGCAGAAGTACGACAGAACATCGTACAATTTACAACTTCAAAGAATACACATGAGAATCTGTGATACTGAAAAAAAACAAAGTAGAGATTGAGAGAAAATGGTCCTAGTATGAAATAAATTAAGGATTCCCCGAAATTATTGTCCCGATTTCTCTTCCGAGATAATATTGTTTCAACATCAAAGAACAGATAAGAATATTCAATTAAACGCAAAATATTAAAGTTTGGAAAATATGGACTTAGTGTGAAATGTATTCTTAGGGTTTTGCCATATCTTTTCAGAATTTTTTATCTTTTGAGACTTCAATAATCCTAAACAAGGCAAGAACAATCACTGCCTTTTTTTTAAATGTAAAAAAAATAATCTCGTATAATGCAAAATGAATGCTCTGGTTAACGCTTTCATTTTCATCAAAATGTTAAGACTAAATACGTCCTAAATTAATCCCGTCCTTCGCAAGGTATTGTGTGGAATTTGGATGTCAAACACAAACTATAAAACCCGTTGTTTTTAGAAGAGATATTCAATTCATTTGTTGTTGAAACGTGCCATTTTCGATCATTTCTTCAATAGAAGTAGTAGGTATGAAGTGCTAGAATTTGTTGAAAATATAAGTAAAGTATTGCTAATTTCATACTTTTATACTACTGTTTGCCTTGTCAATTGGAACAAGCACATAACGCTTTACATTTATGAGCCATGCGCAGCGTGGTGCGATGTTACAGAGAAATACAGGGCGCTATTCTGTCCGTCTGTTCTTCCGCCTGTCCGTCCATCCAGGCGTGTTAGCGCTCTCACATGTACAATTGCCAGATAATTAGACCTTTATATCATTGGTTTATGTCAGCAATGGCTTGGACAGGTATGCAGATCATTGCTTACAAGTTATTTGTAAAGTAAATTTCTCCAGTAAAAATATAAATTATAAGGAACATTGCATTGTTAGCGCTCTAAAGCCTCCGTTTCTTGGAGGACTCTTTTATAGTGTACATATAATGTTTATATCAGCAATTTCTCAGATCCGTTCGAATATCAGCCATCAAATATTTTTACAGAAGTAATATTAATGGCCCTTTAAAAATTCTAAAGGAAATTGTATGGTAAACACTATCAAGTGTACGTTTCTTGCAATATTTTTGTGAATTGTATATCAACGGTTCATACCAGCAAGATGTTTGAACAGTGCCGACAACTTTTACAGAAATAAAACCCCTCAGAAATTTAAAATATATGGAAAATACCCATTTCCTCGTGAAGAAAAACAACAATATGTTATATAGTAGTCTGGTGTTACATTAAATCAAATATGATTCAAATTCAGATATTTCATGCCTAGCTATAGCTTACTATTATAAGCATTAGGAAATATCAGATGTAAGTTTTATTTAAATATTGTATTATATTCATAAAAATACAGTGAAAAGTTAATCAACAGATGTTCAATAAAAGTTAAACATTAAAGAATAACTGCATTATGAAACAGGCACGCAATTGTGTTCAATAATTCTATTTTGTAAAGAAAATGTGTGCTTGGATGAGGTTATTTGATATTTCTAGGGATCTGCATGATCAGTTGTAACATTATTCAAAATTAAGTCATTGTGCTAATTTTCACACATTTGCACCAGTACTTACTTTACTATGTAAATAAATGGAAATGAAGGTTTATGTAATTTTGAAGATATGTAAAGGTGCGTTTGGTAGTTGGCGTTTGTCTTTGGCTTTTTTTTGATTATATCCAGTCAGCAAGTCTGCCTTTTAGTTTGCTTGGCCCAAGGAAGCCAATACGACCTTTTGCAAAATAACGTCTGTCATCTGTTGTCCGTTCACTTTTACAAATATTCTCTGAATCTATAAGCCAAATTGAACAATATTTGTCATAATCATCCTGTGTGGTATCCGATTATACGATTATCTCGCCGGCCAACCAACATAACCGCCAAGGCTATTTAGGACATAGAATATATATTTGAAATCCAATATAGACAGAGAAAATCTGACAGGATCAAAAATGATTAGAATGTTCTTAAAACTGAAATAATAAGAAAAACCTCAAATGTCAAGCATGACAAGAAAGACAAGTTTTTACTATTAAATTGTTGCTTATTACCTAAAAAACCATCATAGAACATATTCAACATCAAAGATACGACCAATAAAAATTATGGCTAAAATCGCCAGTCGGCTGATTCCTTGTATTACGATGTTTTTTTTTATCCATATCAATTATTTTTTTTAAATTTCGGCAAAAACTATAGTACAAGTTCTGCAAATAGGCAAAAAAGATAAAATTGATCAAAGACTTCTTATAGGAATTATTGCGCTATAAAGCTATTAATTGTTTTTGCTAGCAAAAGAATGAGAATCAATGCGTGTTTGAATATCACGGCAAAATTAATAAAAAATCTGCATATGGTTTGTATTAATAGTGTTTTGTCCATACAGAATTAATTTGGTGAATTTACAAACATTAATTGTAGACCAACTGTTGAATATGCATCCTAACTGAAGGAAAATATCGTGCTTCGCATCGGAAAGCTACATTTGGAAGTACGGTATCTCTGTTGAAGAAATATTTTCATAGAAACTATAGAAATATATGATAGACCATTGGTTATTGATAGGCTGTTACATTAGAATCCAACTCGGGGTGTTCAGCACACTAAAGTCCCGCCACAATTTAACCTGTCTGGATATGTAATCGCATTCTTCAAGCTGCTGAACAAATATAATAAAACAGTGAAAAATCCGATTAACTTTTGTATACAATAATTACTTATTCTTTGATAGATTTTACATACATTATATAAAGTCCAATATTACACATTCTACGGAAGCGTATTAGCGATACACACTTTGTTTATATTCCTTCCTATGTTTGCATTATAAGTTAGCATAAATCGTTGCGAGATAACGCAAACATTTTGATCTTTATTGTCGATTGAGTTTTGTATATTTTATAATCAAAAATTATATTGAATTTACATTTATTATATAATATAAAAAGAAATGTTTTGTAAAATATCAACATTAGCATGTCCGTCTGCTAGTAAAATTGGTTGTGATATTGTTAAAACAAAGAGCATGAACACACAACCAAGTCAATGTCATAAAGATACATAGGAATAAGGGAATACTTGTGTCGCAATTATACACAAATTAAGAATGATTTTTGTAGCAGAAAATTGTATAAATATTCCAGCATTTCATTTTGCAAATATTGCAAAACGTGACAAAAATTAATACATATAGCGTCCTCCATTTATAACAGCTGCTTTCTTTGACACTTAGATAAGAAATAAAATAGCGCAAATTTATGCGTTATTTTCGAAAGGTTTGCATTATAACGCAAACATGGGAATAAATACCAAACAAAAGATTATGTGGCGCTAATCCGCTTTCGTATATATATGCAAATAAACTTACAATTAAAAAAATGATCATCAACTCATTACATGTTTTTGTTGTTAATCAGATCTTTACTGCTGACAAGGGAGCCACTCAAATACTGCTGACGAGGGAGCCACTCAATTATTGTCTCCCTACCGTAAAGCTTTTTATTGTATAAAATTATAAACTGAAAGAAACACAAAATTCTTCTAAACCATTTAAATAAACAAACATATAGCATAAAATTTTAAAAATAATTTTAAATGTTAGTTCGGATTTACTTAAGATCGCGTCGATTAGGAAAGTTTTTCAAATTATACATTTTACACTTAATCGGAGATTAGCTTCTTAGACATAATTAGCTCGCTTGCTTCGAATTATTGATGTTATTGGTTTGATCATCAGCTGATTCAAACATAAAACTTTGAAACTGATGTTTGTTGTTTTTTGTCTAGCAGGCAGAATTGTCCGAACGAGTCACGACTGGTTGGATCGGATGGGACTATGTATGCATGTACATGCCATCGCGGACTGTTAACGTATGGGTTAACCTTTCAAATATCTAACTCATCATGTCGGTCTAGTAAAACATAGGGAATACTTCTATTACATAAGTCTATGGAAAGTTACTGTTCTAAATATACCTTTTACATAAATCAGGCCGTTAGTTTTCTCGTTTGAATTGTTTGACATTTTTTCATTTCGAGGCTTTTTATAGCTGTCTATGCGGTATAGGATTTGCTCGTTGTTGAAGCCGTACGGTGACCTATAGATGTTAACCTCTATGTCATTTGGTCTCTGGTGGAGAGTTGTTTCATCGGCAATTATACCACATCTTATTATTTTATCATTGGTATGTGTTATTGGACGTTGATCGCGGTGAAGTATACGTAATTGGCCAGTACTTCTCTATAAAATTTTGTATGCTTTTTTAACTCGCTGAATCGGCACAAACGAGGAAAAAAGACCTATGATATTACGGTTAATGAACAATGATGTTGCTTTCGGCTCATTAGGAAATGCTACATGTGAACCTGAACCGAAAAATGCAAAAATTATTGTTTTATATCAATAAAACAGAAAATTATTCACAACAACATCTTACGAAGTTTATTTATACAGTGATTTTGGTCTGGTGATTTTAACCAAACATACTGCTTGTTAAAGAAGCCTGTTAAAGCCCGGGAAAATGAACCTCACTCAACCCAAACACCGGATATTTAGACAATATTACTAAACGAATATAATAGTATTTGGATAAATCAGATGTAATGAAGGTTAATATTTATAAGTAAATTACTAAGTATTTATGTCTATAAAATGCAAATAAAAGCAAATTTTAAACTCCGCCATAAACCTCATGCAACAGTTGTTGCTTTAAGTTGCAGGGGGCCACAAAGTCTTAAGATTTATCAATGTACATTTGTATTATTGTACATTACTAATAGTGGTCGTTTATTGCATGTATTTATTTTGTTCACAATCGTTGGATTCAATATTAATTCTATTTTTTTAATTACTTTACTTTCTTGGTCAGTTTTTGCTTGAAATTTGGACGTAAGGTATCTGATTCAACCCTTTATGTACCTTTTAGACTAAAGTAGGTGTTGCTAAAAATGACGGAAGTATTATAAAAGATGATGTGAGTTAAATAACAAACTGTTAGATCAACTGCTTCATCAATACGCAAATGTCAAGTAAGTTTTTTTTTTCTATTTATTTTATTTTATATTGTCCATATTATACTGAACTCAATTTAATACAAAAGCGTTTAATTTGAAAAGTAAGGCAAGACAAAATAAGCTCTCTAGGGATCCCTAGAATGTAGAATTTAAGATTTGTTTGTTTTTTTTTTTAATTCAACTTCCGTGCTAATTTTGGTCTAGCGTTACCATTTGTTAATTTTTTTTTATTTTAGATATTGCTCATGATCTCTACTAACTGTTGCATTGTACAATCTTGATTTGTTGTATTTCTGTGTTTTTTGACAGTGCAACTTTTGTCGTGTTTAACCTTTTATCTCTATATGATATCTGATTATATAAGTTTCTCGTATTATTTTAGGATGAGACATATTACTTTCTTAAGCGTTCTCCTTCTCCACGTGACCATACCAGTAGTAGAAGGACAAGTAAACAACACGTTAAATGCCATATTGAGACGGGCTTTAGATGATGCAGTTAATACTGTACAACCACAAACATTTTCAAGTTTAGGAATTCGGCGTAAGTAAATAAAGATCCCTATCAAAACATGAATGTCATTTAAAGATTTGAATCAAGAATGTTTCAACATTCCTTTTTATGATTCTGATTAAATTGTTAAAACATACTAGATAGTCTTATTATTTTGATGATCGACTATAAAGAACCGGGTGAATCATTACAAGACAAAGTTGTCATATCATCACATGTTGTTTACAAATAACATATGTTTTACAGCTGGTCAGGCTGGTCCGACAGGAGCTGCTGCTGCTCCTCCACCGACCGCGCCAACTGGAAATAGTCCTCAAGATTTACTTGACCTGTTTGGTGGACAAACAGAAGATCCACAAGCATCATCTGCAAATAGCATTTCAGGACAATTGTTTAGAGTTTTTAGACAAAACGTAGCACAGTAAGTCAACATAATTATTTATTTTGTACTTTTTTATAAGGTACATTGTACATACATGCGTCAAGCTTTATCATTGAAAATCGTCTTGTAACATTTTTTAAAAACTATCCTTTCTTGAACTTTGATTTTACTTATCGTATATTTATAATGGTGGCATCCTATATGTAATGTTTTTGATCTTCCTATACTTATGTGTATTAGCGTGTCTCGGTTTGTTCGATGTTCGTATGGTTTGAGTGACATATTTCTGATTTTAGTTAATGTGATCAGAACTGTATCTCAATTCGTTTTATCAAGGTTATATGGATCCATTGAGGTAATAAAATCCAACTTACAAAAAACATATAAAACTGTCATCATAAATCCAGTCTTTACGTAAGTATGATAGCAACCAAACAACAGAAAAAAAACCCAAAAAAAGACGATAACTAGACATCAAGATATGACCTCAACATTAGAAAAAATGTCTTGTCAAACCTTATAATCCTGTTACACGATGTCTAGACTCGATAAGGCCGAAAGAACATTACATATAAAACAGACTGTCTTTTGTTTATGACCGCATGTTTTCGTCTTCATGTTAATTTCCTTAAAAGTTTGTAGATTTGTTCCGTAGATTGTATACACTCTTTTATTCATGACTTTCTGTAAACGTCTTGTTTATAAAATGTCGAATTATTCGATACACGAAGATTTGTTCACCGCTCGGTATGATGTATTGCCCAAGCCAATTTGCACATCTTTTTTGGAACTTTGGTTTTTGATTCTGGTTTTTGATTCTGGTGTTACGACTCTGTCCCCCCTCAATAGCAAGTCAATTACATTTATTTCAAGACGAAAAGTATTTCAAGTTGATTAAAAAAATAAACATGCGAGTCAGTAAAATAGAATAACTTTTGCCGTAGAAAATTGCTAATAAAACGTTGAAATTCACACTCTACCACGCTTGTCATTTTTATAAAATTGAATACAGTTTCCTTGATTTCAATGAGCCTGGTTCGATAACCTACAGGTTCAAGTTAGATACGGTATTTTGTCTACAATAATTGATCGACGCATGCACTTTATGTTTTTAGTCCTCGAAATTGACCTGTTTTCATGAATTCGGTGAAAAATTGAAACTGATCGTAAGAAAACATTTTATACATGTACACGTGTTAATAATATCCATTATAATAAAAAAAAACAATTGCTCAGAGAACAATTGAAGGTCTTTCCACCCAAATTCACTTAAGATGAGAAAATTTTAATAAAAAATAGTATAATCGGTCTTAAATAATAGCTTATCACACGCTGATTTTGAAAATACCATGTTTGAGGCACCTTTTCATCAATTAACGGAGATAATAAGCCCCTTCCAGTTAAATCAAAGTCACTTCCGGTGTCAAATAATAGCTTACTTTACTCTGATTCTAAAAATACATAGTTTCTATATACTTTTGCTTTAAATAAGGGAGACAAATTGCAACTTCCGGTTTGAAAAAGGTCACTTTTGTTTGACATTTCAAGGTCATATGTCTACTAACCTAATGTAAAAGATACCAAGGCTTTATCATGTATAAATATGAATCTACAGCAAAGGTCAAAATCTAGAACTTCAATTTTACCTTTGACCTTGAACTAAATTTCAAGGTCATAAAGCAAGGACCTCAAATCAAATTACCCTTAGTCTCCACTATGTAAGGGAAATGAGTTACATCCCCATACAGCTTATTTTTAGTATTAGAGGGGAGGACACTCCCATCAAATGTCAACGCATGCTTTTAACCAAAATAAGTATGTTACGACATATCGCAAATATCAGTTTAGTAAAAATGTTTTGTCGATATCTTATACAGTTTCTGAAAAGAAGCAATATTAGCCAAAATCAAAATCTATAATCTAACCTTGACTTTTGACCTTGATACCATTTTCTTTTTGGTGGACCAAGGACCTCAATTCAAAAGACCCTAGGTCTTTATCACTTATGGTTTACCAGTTGCAAATACATTTCACTTGTTTTAAATACAGAAAGGGAGATAACTATCATATGGAGTCTCTGGATCGCTTCGGTCAAAATTATTCTTAAGATCCTGAGGATATAACGAGCAAATTGGTGAAATAATTTTGTCGTAATCTTTTACGGTTGTGAAGGAGATGCTCAGACAAGAAAAACAGTGTTTGGGGAGATAACTCTTACAATAAAAAGTGTTCGGTTAAACAGGGTCAGTTTCAAAAGCGCAATATCTGTTCGATATCATATGCAAAAAATCTAAGCGACATTTTGCGAAAAATGTAGCGGAAGAAGAAAAAAAATAATAATCAGAACAAATCATTAGGTGTTTCCACAGAAAAGTGGAAATACCTAATAAAAGCCATATTATACTAATTTGAAACTTTTGCTATAAATAAAAGCGATATTGGGGCCTTATGGAACATTATAACAAGGTGTGTAAATATGTTAATATCAGTGACAATACACCTACAATGTACGTCATCATATGACAGTAATTCAAAATACATGTATGGCCCTAGTTCCCTTGATATAACAGGAGACCTTAAGATTGTCCAGGACCGATAGTTGAAATCATTCCTTAGAAAAGGACCTAATTTAAAAACATCGCCCGCGTCAATAATGAATTGGAATGAGTGTCGTAACATCAACAATGACTCACTCCGTACTTTCTGTATACAATAGATAAAACGAGAAAAAGCTGACAAAAAGTCCTTAGATTTTCTTTTTTTTTAATTCAGTAACGAACATAGATGATATTCAAATTAAACATTTCAAAGAACATTTTACTCCTAGCAACAACCATAATAGCCATATTTCTCGTACCAAACATAAGCTTAAAGAAGTCGCAAAGGAATTTGTTCTTGTCCCGGCTGATAAAGCTGCCAATAATATCATTATTGTTTGACGCAAATTTAATATCGAGGTTCTGCAAAAAAAAAATCACGAATTCACCAACATTCCAACTGACTCAATTTTAGCAAAATGACATCAGTAACAAACATAAACTTTTGGCTTTCCCTTTACAAGCAGAAACGAATAACATGAAAGTTCCAACTATAAACTGGCTTCCGAAGCTGCACAAAACACCTTATAAATGTAGATTATTTTCGTTTTCAAGCCATTGTTCCACCATTAAACGGTCTATTCTTCTTACAATTACACTTGAAAAAAAATGGTTATAAATTGTTCAAAAAAGGTCTTTAAAAATACTGGAATTAATTAAATGTAGAGTGTCAAAAATTCGTTGGAAGTACTTGATAAACTGCATGCTCGTATTGGTTATTTTTTTTTACCACTTTGCCTCAGAATCTCATTAAACAAATCACAGTCATACCTAATAAAATGGACATTTAAAAGTAAGAATGCAAAGATATATGTTCAAACACTTTTAGGTCATGTTTTTGTAACAACAAACCAAAAGAACTATGTTAATTGGGCCTGCTTTGATACTATAACTGCACTTTTATTAGATAACGTTTTTGTGTTTGCTATGGAGATTCCGTTTATTGTCAAGTTATCAGAATTCTAATGTGGAGTATTTGTGAACCACATATTGCGGACCTGTTTCTGTATTGTTATGAGTTAACATGTATGACTAAAATCAGCAAAAACCCATCGAAACAACATCTGATAAAACAATTTGATAATACTTTTAGATATTGGGATAATGTATTGGCTCTCAATAATGACGACTTCAGTATGTGCACTAAAGAGATTTATCCTGCTGAACTGACTTTAAATAAAGCTAATACTAACAATGAAAACAACCCTTTCCAGGATATTGATCAAGTTTAATACTTAAATGAGAGGGTTTTGTTTTCATTTACTATTGTTAATTATCCATTTCTAAATTGTGACGTTCCCTTGACACCATCTTACGGTGTTTATATATTTCAACTTGTTCATATCACTCGTGTATACGTAACAACGTATTTGATTTTTACGAAAGAAATCTCTGTATTACTGAAATATTATTACACTAGAATTTTCGATATCATAAACTTGTCAAAATATTTACTTAATGTTATCATCGGTACAATACATCATTCGTAAATTTATATGAATCAACGTGCAGACATCTTATACGTTCAGATATTTCACATCCAATCTTTTATGGTAATATTTTATACAAAGCACAAACATGTCGCCATTCGCCTCAAAAGCTTACCAAACCTTGAAACAGATTAATTCAGAAGGGATACAGTTACAATACTGTTGTCAGGTCATCAAAGAAAGTTTATATATAGATTCAATCATAGGGTGTTTGCATCTAAAATGGAGCTGGCATGTCAGTAACTGCTAGTAGTCCTTTGTTAATTTATGTTGATTATTGCCATTTTGCTCAGTTTCTTCTGTTACATATTCTAACATCGGACTCGGTCTTCTTTTAAACTGAATTTTACTGTGCGTACATCTGTATGTTTGTCTATTCCACATTGGCTAGATGTATAGGAGAAGTGATGATATCTCACAAAACATGTTTAACCCGCCGCATTTTTGTGCCTGTCCCACGTCAGGAACCACTGGCCTTTGTTAGTTTTGTATGTTTTTATTTTAAATTTTGGTTCATTTATATATTTCGGAGTTTTGTGTGACGTCCATTTTCGCTGAACTAGTATTCAGTTATTTCGGGGCCAGCTGAAGCCTGCCTCCGGGTGCGGGAATTTCTGGCTGTGTGGAAGACCCATTGGTAGCCTTGGACTGTTTTCTGCTCTTTGGTCGGGTTGTTGTCTCGTTAACGCATTCCCTGTTTCCATTCTCAATTTAATCCTTTACTTTAATATTATCTGCCAATTGATTCCAAACTTTCAAATTTATATTGTGAAGATTAATCGAGTAAAAGCCATGTTTGCCATTCAACTATAAGAAAACAGGATGGAATATGTCTCATATATAACTCTGTAGAGATGAATTATAGTATGTCACCCTTCAATCTATCAAATCAATGATTGTAGGGCAGGTGAATCATTCCGCAGTCAAGCAGTCCAAGCAGAGTTGACTTCCCTGGCTGCTGTTGTCAAGCAAAACTGTATGCTGCCGCTCAGACCTGCTTGTGTTGATGGGTACCCATACAGATATCCGGACGGATCATGTAATAATCCTAATCCAAACATTTTAAGAGGAGCGGCACAGACTGCTCAGCCACGATTTGTGGAAGCTGAGTACGAGGAGGGTAAGTTATATAATATATTTTATTAATACCAATAATATTAACTTTAAAAAAGAGAGGCGAAAGATACCAGAGGGGCATTCAAAGTCATAAGTCGAAACAATATGGCTTAAAAAGAAAAAAAAAACAATATACAAACAAAAGCACACAAAACACAACATAGAAAAATAAATACTGAGCAAAACGAACCCCACCAAAAACTTGGGGTGATCTCAGTTGCTCCGAAAGGGTAAGCAGAACCAGCTCCATATGTGACACCCGTCGTGTTGCTCATATAAGTACAAACCCGGTAATAAGGTAAAAGGGGGACGGGATTTAAGAGTTTCTGTGAACCATTGATATCCAGCTTATTTGCTCAACTATTATGGCTGAATGTAAAACGCAAATATAAATAGCTTCTAGTATATCGAAACATAAATCAAGTTTAAGCTTATTTCTGTACTTTACTTTCGGTGTACAACTACTGAAATACTTTTACCAAGGCTGCGTTTGCTCTTTGTTTAGACCAACGTGGTTTTGATGCTCACAAACATTTAAAAAATTCGATTGTTACAATGTTTCTTCAATAATTCCACATTTCAACATTTTTGTATTGTAAATGGTAAATAATTTTATACCTTATTTGCAGTATAATGTAAAGATTTTGTGAATATTAGTATTAGATCTTGGAATTAATAGATAGTTATTAGCGAAAGATCGTAAGTTGCTGTGTAGAACATCGATATCAATTAGCATTGATAAGTAATCAGGTGTTATTATATTTATAATTTTATACATAAGAATTTATTGTTGGTATTTTACTCGTTCATTAAAGGATAACTATTTTAATGAACACATTATAAAATTTTATGTTACAGATTTATCACATGCATTAATAACAATTCTTGCTTCTCTTTTATGAAGTTTTATGATTCTTTTTGTAACCAGTGGTCGTGTCAACGAAGGTGTCTTAGGACTAGGGCGTGTCTTAGGATGGTGCTTAGGATACGTCTCAGTCTTAAGTCAGGTTAACGAATTTTATGATCTCTACATAGGTGGCTTAGAATGGTCGTAGGATAGTCCTGAAAATACGAAGTCTAAAGTCGAAACAAAAACAACAAATTTTGTTTTGCGTTATTTTTTTTTTTTGGTTGAAGATGCAACCTCCCGTCCTTTACAAAAACATATATTTCAATCGATTTTCTACATATTTATATTAATCAAATACAATCATGTGTTACGATGGTCATAGAAGAATCGTTGTTAGGACTGTCCTAAGATAGCTTTGTTTTACATCCTTAGACATTTCTCAGTGAATGTGGTAGTCAGGAATTTTACACAGATAAGGGGAATCTATAAAATCCCTAAAATTGTTAGGAATTTTATGAAATCACTGAAAATACTGCTAGGGATTTTGTAATTACATGTTTAAACGTAATAACAAAAGTGTATTTTGCTTAAGAGAGAAAGACCATTAATCTTAACATTTATTTATTTGATAGACATTACTGGTTTAAATCATTTTAAAGTGACTGAGAAATAGGTATATAGATATAAAAAGATGTGGTATGAGTGCCAATGAGACAACTCTCCATCTAAGTCAAAATTTAAAAAAAGTAAATCATTATAGGTCAAAGTACGGTCTTCAACACGGAGCCTTGGCTCACACGGAACAGCAAGCTATAAAGGGCCCCAAAAATTACTAGTGTAAAACCATTCAAACGGGAAAACCAACGGTCTAGTTTATATAAAAAACGAGAAACGAGAAACACTTATGAACCACATCAACAAACGACAACTACTGAACATCAGACTCCTGATTTAGGACAGGTGCAAACAATTGCAGCGGGTTTAAACGTCTTAATGGTACCAAACCTTCACCCTTATCTGAAACAACAGTGTAACATCACAACATAGAAAGACACACTATAATATGCACATATTTGAAGACTTCAATGTACTTATATTTGTATACTAAGTTTGATTGACATCGTTTGTTTTATAATTGTTCTGCTTCCAACAGGCATGCCTATTTTTGCACATTTCCACATTGTAGGACTTGATACCTACATTATTACACAAATAAATAAAACAATTAGGAGATGTGGTATGATTGCAAATGAGACAACTATCCACCAAAGTAAAAATGAAGTGGATGTAAGCAATTATAGGCACTAGAACGGCCTTCAACAATGAGAAAACCCATACTGTCGGCTTTAAAAGCCCCCGACACGACAAATATGAAACAATTCAATTGAGAAAACTAACGGCCTAATTTATAACAAAACAGTTTACGAAAATCAAATATGACAGACATGAACCAACGACAACCACTAAACTACCAGTTACTGACTTGGGACAGGCATATACAGAATGTGGCGGTGTTAAACATTTTTGTGAGCGTTCAACTCCCCCCTAACCTGGGACAGTGGTTTAACAGTACAACATAAGAACAAACTATAAAAATCTGTTGAAAAAGGCTTTATTGTTAAAGGCCGCACGGTGACTATAGTTATTCTGTGTCATTTGGTCTCTTGTAAAAAGTTGTCTCATTGGCAATCATACAACATCTTTTTTTTTATATTAACTCATCAGATGGATACAAATAGAAATACATCTAACAAAAACACAAAGTGGACGTGAACGGGTACTTGTACATCCCAAAACAAAAAGACACTAAGTACAGATCTGAGAGTACTCGCAGTTACTGACAGCTAGTTCAAAGCCTTTAACAACTAATGAAAAAATCATGTATCTAAGACTAAAATATCCAAAATCCAATGGATTTAGTGTAAAGACGTCATTAGCAGTCAGAGAAAAACATGACCTTGTGCAATGCCAAACTAAAGACAGATTGTAGTACCGTGCAGTACATATGTGTAATATTTTGCATGGTTTTAATTTACCGCTGACAAAATCAATATTTACACCAATAAAAACAATATTCAAAGACAGTGTTTAATAGGTAACCTTTAAGAATAGGTTTATTTAAACATGTGTTAAAGGATTGATAAGTTTACCCAGATCGTATCTAAATTACCGGGCTCGGTTCACAACATCACCGTAAAATTTATGATGTGCTATTCCGTTTGAAATAAGTTTTCTACAGGTATAGCCAAAATTGCAGACCAAATCTTTGAAAGAATTTAGTAAAGGTTTTAAGTAATTTGTGGTAACGAAATTCCTGACTTAGTAATTAAATAAGCAAAGTTTGCTTTTCATTTGATCTTGATCTAAAGAGTTGAGAAAATATAGAAAATTGTTTATCCCTATGTGATAGCCTAGATTTATATTACAGTATCTAAAATATAACAGTAAGCGAAACATCAAACAATGGTCAATGGTACCTGTGTTTGCCTGGTTTGTTTTAAAAATATCAAATGAAAAGTAAGATATGAAATATTTTTGTATTTAAATAGTTTATACTATTAATAGTTTAAATATGTTCCTGGAAAACTTTTTTTTTATATAAAGCATTTTAATAAGACAACACTTATTTGATTTTTACAAGTCCTTATTACTGATTAAATATAACAAATATCTAGAAGGGTAGGTTGACATGTCTTCTGGTGGACATTTACCTTGTGAACAGGCACGTTTATATTCTGGTTCAGCGGGTCGGTCTAGCACTAAACAATCGCAATATACTGCCGATATTTACCTAAATGAACTTTCTTTGAATAAATCAAATGTAAACGGCAGTAACTGCCTTTTCCTGTAATAAAACATTTCTGTTTAACACGAAAATCTGAATATCAATTATTACGACAAAGGGACGATTTTTCGATTACTATAGTTAAATTTCTTTTTTGAAACTGTAGTGTTCCTTTTGTATACCACCTTTCGGTGTTTATATATTCCAACTCGTTATGCCCGTGTCTGTAGTAATGTTTCCAATTTCATTGAACGTAATTTATGTAGTACTGGTAAATTATTGAGTTAAAGATTTGGTTACTAGGAATTACTTGAAAATGTTTACTAAATTAATCAAGGATGTTCGCTCCTCTGTTTCAAAATAACAAGCTTCTTAAAAAAACTTTTATAAATTGATAGTATTGAAATAAAAGAACGAAAAAAAAACCGAAAAAAACATTTATAAGCAATTGAAAATTTGGCGGGAAATGATTCTCCATAGATTTTTCATATATTTGACTTTAATTTGCACCTTTTTCCTTTCAAAAAACTATGGAAAAAAAACAAGGATTTTGTAAGATTTTCAAATATGGCTTTTAAAACTATATGTAATAATATTATTAAAAGAAAAGTAAGGGTTACTGTGCAAACTTTTTTTTATGACACTACATGCATAAAAGCAGAAAATAGCGAATATCTGGTTGAAATTCAAAAAAACAAGAGTAGCGGACATCCTTAATAGATACACAGATTTAGTTTAGAAGTTTGGCTGTACTATTTTACAAACGGGATAGTACATCCTATCATTTATGGTAATGTTGTAAGCCGTGCAAAAAAAAACTTTTTCTAAAATTTTACTTATTCGACATTGCTATAAGATCTTTGAATATTGTTTGAATAGGTTTATAAATATTGATTTTGTTATCAATAAATTAAAATTCTACAAATTGTAAAATAAAATATAATTTTATACACATATGTACATTCACGGTTTTATAATCTGACGTTCCTATATTTTGGCTTTGCACATGGTCATGTTTTCTCTGCTCTGACTGTTGATTACATATTTGCACCAAATCCATTGGAAGAAAGATGTGTACTTACTGATATTTTAGTCTTCGATCAAATAATTGTTATTGGCTTTGAACACTACAAAAGAGGGACGAAAGATACCAGAGGGACAGTCAAATTCATAGATCGAAAACAAACTGACAACGTAATGGCCAAAATAAAAAGACAAACAGACAAATAATAGTACAGATGACACAACATAGAAAACTAAAGACTAAGCAACACGAACCCCACCAAAAACTGGGGGTGATCTCAGGTGCTCCGGAAGGGTAAGCAGATCCTGCTCCACATGTGGCACCCGTCGAGTTGCTTATGTTATTACATATCCGGTAAATAGTCTAATTCGGTAAGTCACATTCGTGAAAAGGGAAGGGTATTGTAGTTACGACATAAGGAACATATCCGAATCATCTGTGAAACGGTTATTCCATAACGGTCAACCAACTCGTGATGGCGTCCGTAAAATTTACGAAGGGATGACTTTAACTTCACCATTTGGAACTCTTGATTTAATAGCTTCCTTGTGAGCAGCAATCCTCTATCAAGGAAATCATGATAGGAAACACAAGCCCGGGAATATCGTATCAATTGGGAGATATATACTCCGTATGCAGGCGCTGCTGGAATGTTGCTACATAGAAATGGAAAGTTCACAATTGGGAAGCTGAAATCATCTCTTTTGTCGTAAAGTTTTGTTTTCAACCGACCCTCATTGTCAATTTCTAGATGTAAGTCAAGATATGAGGCAGATTTAACTGTATCTGTAGTATCCTTTATCTCTAGTTCGATGGGATAGATTCGTTCAACATAGTCACCAAATTTTGTATTATTTAGTGAGAGAACATCATCTATATAGTGGAACGTAGAGTTAAAGGATATTGCTAACTTCTTATCTCTCTTCCTAAGAAGCTCCTATATGAAGCCAGCCTCATAATAATAAAGAAACAAGTCGGCAAGAAGAGGGCACAATTGGTTCCCATTGGAATTCCGACAGTCTGTTGAAAAACTAGTCCTCCAAACGTAACAAATATGTTGTCAATAAAGAAATCAATCATCTTGATAATGTCAGTTTCAGAGAATTTTTTGTTTGAATCAGAGTGATTCTTTACAAAGTAGGATTTATCCCTCCCCTAGACAAGATACTTGTATCTACGTTCGCCATTCTTTTTAATGAAACAAAGTAATACCAACTCTTTCAATTTGTCTTTTAGTTTGGAATGGGGAATACTTGTGTAAAGTGTAGAAAAGTCAAATGTTTTAATACTATTGCAAGATGAGAGAGTCTTAGATTGTATGTACTCTAAAAGATCTTTGGAATTTTTTAGTATCCACATCTGATTCATGCCACCTCTAGAATAGGCAGTTTCAAAATAACTTTGGAGCCCGGCTTTGATTGCTGATAAAATAGATGTTAATAATTTAGAAAGAAGTTTCGTGGAGCACTTGGAAGACCCAGCAATATACCGTTGTTTGTAAGGACACTTATGTAGTTTAGGTATCCAATACAGTGATGGAAGATCCAATTCTTCGTCTTTGGTTGAAATTCCAAAGGAACATAGAACAGACCTATGATTATCTAGGATTTCCTCTTTGGTAAGTGTCGTGAGGGTATATGTTGAGTTTCCAAGTGAATTGTCAATACCTAATTCATTTAGCTTTCAGTCAGATCTGTACTTTGTGTCTTTTGTGTTTTTGTGCTTTGTATAAGTATGATCAGTTAAAGGGGCATTAACTGTCACATTCGAGTTCACCGATTTGATTCAAATTTTCATATTCTATTTATCAAATTATAAAAACTCCAAAGGAAACAATTTATAGAGCATGGACTTTTATAATGAATCAGCATTTCATGTGTATTATAGACTAGGCGCCGTCTAATTAACCATCGGGGTTACCCCCGAAGAATGCCGATTGTGAAACGACTCGATATGATTTAAACAATAACATAATCATAACCATAAAAACACAGACAGTAAGATGCAATCATATAACGGCGATTTTTCTAGTTGTGTGCTGAATCAGTCAACACAATGGACTTTTCCCTTGGCACCATAGTTTCACTTTCCCATGTTGCAAACTTTTCTTTTTAATAACTGAACATGCTTTACAACAAGTGAACCATCTCCCACTGAGGTTTAAATCGAATGTCGTATGAAAATGAGTTGAATTATTGACTTTCAGGCATAACCTATGTTTAGATCATTTTTTCGCTAAATTGGATCAAACTGACTTTTAAAAGCGAAATATTTTTTCATAATTCCGCTTTATTACTTTGTAACAAAGAAAATCGTGTTTTATTTCTTGTCAAAATTGTAGATACTTCCTCTTTGAAGCCCTTTCAGCTGATTTTTATAAATTGTTCCTGCTGTTACACCACTGTCCCAGGTTAAGGAAGGATTGTCGTACGGTGACATATAGTTGCTAAACACCTACGTCAAGTGGTCTCTGGTGGAGAGTAGTCTTATTAGCAATCATACCACATGTTCTTATTTTAATAATTAAAATAACAGATCCGTTGAGGAAAAAGTGCCGACGACTGAAACAGATGAACCACGTTTAATTGACATTGTGGATATCGAATCCTGTCTTTTACATACATCACTGAACCCGGTAGATGGAGATTTTACCCGATGTTAATGTTTTATACTATAAATTATGCCTTAAGTTTACTTTTGCAGACGCCATTTCCGACGACCTTCCAAGAACACACGGTCAAAATGGCGACAAGCTGAAAAGTGCAAGGTTAATATCAAATACGGTCCTAAGTACAACACAAAGCAATCGGTCTCCAAAAAGCTCGAGGCATACTTTGACATTGGTGCATTTTGCACAGTTTGTTGATCATGATGTTGTCAAAACTCCTTCCACAAAGATAAGAGACCCTCTACCAAACGGTAAGGACAAGGTCTATATGTATTAGTAAAATATCTCATCATTTCATATCATCTAACCACTATGTAATTTTTATTTCTTAAAATTGACAGAAAAAGTGGAAAAAGGACATTTTTAGTTTACCAAACATCATCATTCGTTTTATTCTATATATATATTTATATATATATATATATGTATACAGTAAATAAATATCAAACTATGGACATTTATACGACTGTTTTTCCATTTTTCTTGAAGGAAGGTAGAACATATTAATTCCTCAACATTACAGCTTTTTCATATTTTTTTTTACAAAGTTAAACTTGAAAATGCTTGGTTTAACTTTACAATCGCCACTTGAGTATTACACTTACAACCAAAAAGACAAAAACATACAGCACTTTTCAATTTTTCGATATATAAATGGTCTATCTTGGTTGATTTTTAATTTTTCAATTTGTTTACAAAACTGTAGATTCTTCTGTGCGGGAGCACTATTCAATTTTTGAAATTATTTGACGAAATGAAAAAAAGCTCCAATTTTACAACGATATTGAAAAATTATTAAAAGACCCTCTTCATTACATATACTTAACAGTTTAAGCCGTGTATAGTTGATATCACACAGAGTGCACACATACATCCCCATGCAATTATTTCAAAAATATTTTACTTTAAGATATTGACATAAAAAAAGCAAACACTGCAGAATATTGTCGACAATTTTGAACAAGAAAAAACTCATATTGAAACACATTTCATGTCGTTCTACAATGTTATGATTAATAATGATGTACACGGGAACATTTTTTCGATTTTTATTTTTTTTTTAAAGAGAAATGAACAATTCTCCACAATTATCTCTAAATGAAAAATTATGCTTCAAATGGTAACACTTTTTATTTTTCAAATGTTAATGTCAAAAGTCAATGCTCCTGATTGATACATAATTCATTTTTGTCAATTTTTCATTTTTGTTTACACCAGCAAAGATATTTGTGTTATTTCTTTTAAACTGTTGAAGACTTGAAACATTTTCTGCATAAATGTTAATTTATTTTTCAAAATCCTTGCAAAATCGATTGATTTCATTCAAATATCAAATTTCAAATGATTTTTCAAAATTGACTTCAAAAGAAAAAAAACAAAACAAAACGATTTACATCATACATTCCAAACTTAATTTTACCTAAATAAAATGATAAATGTTTGGCTTATATGTACGCTAACGAAGACTATGGTTAGCATTTTTTTCATACAATTATTGTTTACGTGGGTCTGAATTGTGGGTTTATTCCCGATTGTCCCACTTTTTAAAATTTTATAGTTCTGATTGTCCCACATGAAAAGTTCTGATTGTCCCAAATTATTTTTATATTTTTAATGTTCTTGAATAAACAATGTAATTGTTGTTTGTTTTGCAATATCAATTAAAATTAATTATTGCATGAGCAAACTAGAAGTTGATATCAATTTTATAAATATAACTATGAATTGTTGAATAAATCATCAGTTAAAATGCACTTTTGATTTAGCAATACAACATATATGTAATAAACAATATCTATTATGTTAGGTTAATTTATAAATCAAATATCAATAATTTTTTTTTATTTTAAAGTTGTTATTTAAATTTTAAAAACATGGACGCAATTTTGGTTTTCTTTTCATTTTTAAGAGCGCTCAGACTAAAAGGTCTAGAGGCTGATTTAAAAAAACAAAACATTTACAATCTCAATATTACATAAGCATAAGCTATTTTGATATGTAATAAAATAGATTGCAAGGTCTCAACCTATATTCTCACTTAGGGAAAAAAGATAGATGTGGACCAGAAATGTCATTTGTGTCCTCTGAACACATACACTGTTTTAAAAACGTCCAGTGGCAAGTTAAATGCTTTAAGCAGGACGAGCACATGTTGGTGTTAGATGAATATGAAACCTTCTTTGAAAAGAACTAGACCGACACAGTCATCAAGCCTGAATTTATCTTGCTAGTTCACAAGATAACAATCCGCATTAAGACATGTCACCCTACACAGACACATTATTCTAAGTAAGGACTAACCAGTCTGCTCTTAGTCCAAAATGTAGCGTCCTTTGAGGAGAAGCAACAAATTCCAAATTTCTGTTCATTGGTTAGACCTGGCTGGGATCAATTTATTCTTATTGTGTAAGTTAGACAAGATATCTATACAATCAACATATCTGCACATTATTTCGTTTTAAGTTTATGATTTTCTAATTCAAGGATTTTCTTATTAATATTTAAATAAAACTTTCCCCATTTTTTTGCTAGAATTGAATGCTTACGTGAGCAACTTTATGATCAGACTTATTATATAGAATATGTTTCATTTCTGTGTTTAATGAATATATGTAATATCAGCTTAAAACCTGTCAATTTTAGAACAAATCCCTGAAACTTTGTAACATGTAAAATTATTCTTATCTCTTTGTATTTCTCTTAAACACATCTTTTAATTTACTTTTATTTTATCCTTGATACTTCTAAATTTTTCAATTATGTACTAAATGTTCAATTTACAATTTATGTTAAAAGAGTCTATTTAATATTTTATTAAGTTTAAAATATACATATGTTGTTATATAATTGTTCTTTATTTTCTCAATGTTTATTTCAAATTTTATGAGTAACATAATAACTTGTAATTACCTGCTACACACCTTAAAAACAAATTAATCATTATCAAAAATCATTATTCCCAATTGTCCCACATTTAAACTTCCCAATTGTCCCACAAACATCTTCCCGATTGTCCCACAAAATTTCACTATCTTTTTACCTGTAATTTCAAAAAGTGGGACAATCGGGAAGACACCGAATTGTGTATTACCGCTTGGTGTGTTGTTTGTCTTTTCAGATCCGTACCACGAAATAAAAGTAACAGATTGTGATGAACATTGTGTAATCCCAAAGTAAGCAATGTTAACATTATTGTTTTTATACTTTAACTTGCACAATTTATTAAAATTTGTGTGAATGTTGTGCATGTTTGTTCTATTATGCTTTTAGTAATTGAACAGAACAAAACAGATTGCTGAAGACCTTATTAACATGTCACGTAACGTGATAAAACGGTTAAATCTCTTGTATACTTTTGATTTTATTGTACATTGGGTAAAATCAATTTAATTGTTCAGCCCACCATTTTTTCTAAAAATGTACTGTAACAAGTCATGAATATGGCAGTTATTATCAAATAGTTCGTTTCTATGTTGGCGTTTGTTTTTGTAGCAGTTCAGTGTTTCTGTTGTTCCATTGTTTTCCTATTTAGATTGATGTGTTTCTCTCGGTTTTGGTTTGTGACCTGAATTTGTTTCAGTTAAATCGATTTATGACTATTGAACAGGGTATATTACTGTTGCCTTTATTTACGTAGTACATGTATAACATATTTTTAATTTTTTTGTGTTTTAATGCATTTCTTGATTTTTTTTAAATTCCAAAGCTGAATAGTATTGTATTTACCGCCGCAATGAAAGTCTAACAATTGACTCAACGACTTTCAGTCTTTGAAAGTCAGTCAAATTTACAGTATGTGTTGAAAAAGAGTATTCACTATGTGTAAATGTGATTTTTATAGTTTGTTCATATGTTGTGCTGTCACACCATTGCCCCAGGTAAGGTGAGGGTTGAGCACCAGTAATCTGTTTTTCCCACTCCACATTCTATATGTGCCTGCCCGAAGTCAGGGGCCTGTATTTGAGTGGTTGTCGTTAATTGTGTTTTCTCATGTTTCTTTTTTGTTTATTATTTTGTATAGTTTGTTCTCGTGTTGTGCAGTTGCATCATTGTCCCAGGTTATGGGGAGGGTTGGCGCTTTAAAACATGATTAACCACACCATATTCTGTATGGGCCCATCCCAAGTCAGGAGTTGTGTAATGCTATATATCTTTTATTTTATCGTTCATTGTTTTTAACTTGAATCAGGCCGTTAGTTTTCTAGTTTGAATTGTTAAACATTTATTTTGCGGGGCTTACTATGCGGGATTGGTTTTGTCATTGGCGAAAGGCCGTCCGGTGACCTATAGTTCATGTAGTTGTTAACTTCTATGTCGTATGTTCTCTGGTGGAGTGTTGTTTCATTAGTATTTATACCTTATCTTCTTATCTTTTTTTATTTGAAAGCTTCATGTAACGTAGACAAGATAAAACGAAAACAGACATGTATTTTTTAAATGTGATATATATATACAAAGACCGGATTTAAACCATTTAACTTCAAAGGGTGGGGGGTGGGGGGGGTTGGGGGTTATGGTTTTTTGTCGGAGTCAGAATTTTGTTTTGTCTCATCTGCTTGACCAGAATATTTATTTTTCATCAAATCGGGGATCAGAATATGTTTTTTTTTTTCACCATCGGGTTCGCATCGGGTTAAGGCGTTCACACTACCTAAATTCAACCCGGATTAACTAATTCGGGTCGAACCCGGTTTAAAAAGGCATAGCATGAACAGGGAAAAAAACACGTACGGACAAATTATAGTTAACATATCATTCGTACAAAGAAATTTTTTGAACGTTATTCAAGGAGCTATTCCCGTCTAATCGCCAATTCGTTCTATTACTGTTCTGAATTGTGGTTTATGGCTAATCGTAAAGGAGCATTCATTGTAAAAGAAAAACACAACTTGATATATATTTTGAACGAGAACTCTTTACATCATAGAGTTAAATAAATTTTTATGAGCAATTATTTCACTCTATATACTTTGATCATGTTGATGAGTAGTTATTTCAGTCTATATACATTGTACTTTTAGTTGGTGGAGATTAAACGGCGAAGATTATAGTTGTGTATTAAACATATGCTTTAAACATGCAACATTAGGGGATGGCTCTCTTTGTTTACTTCCTACATGTAGGATTTGATACTTCCTATGTTGAAGGCCTAAGTTTGGTGGTTAAATGAGTAGACTCAAGGCGGTTCAACCGCAAAATGTATTCAATATAATACAATTTCTAAATGCACACACTTTGCATTAGCAGCAAATAATATCTTGGTTTTCGAATCTTTTTCTGACTATTCAAATTTATTTCAAAATTGTCTACCCCAAGCCCAGTACTTCAGCTATATTTGGTCTAACCTTTCTGAATTTTTATCCTCAATGCTCTTCAACTTCTTAAATTATTTGGCCTCCTTAATACTTTTTATTCGAGCGTCAATGACAAGTCTTTTGTAGACGAAACAGGTATCTGACGTATACAATTTAACTCTTTAATGATTTTTTTTTAAATTTTCTTATTGTTTTACTGCAAAAAAAAAAAAGATTAGTATAAAGTTATACCAGATAATGCTGAACATTTCCATGAAATGAACTTTTATAATTTATTTTGTGTTTAGAGAACACTGTTTTCCAATTGAAGTTCCCGATAATAACTTTGAGCGCGATTGTATGCACTTCGTGAGGAATAAACCAGCACCAGGAGAGGATTGTATGCCAAGTTCGTATTTTTTTACCGAATAACTTGCATTAAGTAAATGTTTGACAAACGGCACTTGTTTTATTGTATTATAATTATTTACAGTGGACTTTTATTCGTTATCATTTAATGATTGACCACAGTGAATATACAATGAAAATAACACTTCATAAATTTCGTGCGTCGGAAGCATTTTTAGGTAACGCTCACCCTAAACACTGGAAAGCCAGAGATATGATTCGCACCAAAATTGGAGGATATTGGATCATTTTCTATGAAATTATGAAAGAATGTATCACATGTAGAAACATTAGGAACTAAATGACCAACAAGGAACATAAAAAGAACAACCGAGTTCACCTAACTTAAGGTCGACTTTGCAACCCTTTTAAAGCTAAAAAAAGGACCGACATTACAAAATGTGAAACAATTCAAACAAGAAAATTAACGGGCTGATTTATGTACAAAACAAATAAAAGAATAACAAATATGACAAATAGCAACCAACGACACCCACTGAATTACAGGCTCTTGACTTAGGACAGGCACATACAAATGATTGTTGAATAACTTTTTTCTGACTGGCCGGTTGGTTTCTCCAAACTGTAACGGGTTATGAACCACCATGGAGTAAACTTGAAAGAAAAAAATGTATTAATCTACGATAGGTGACAAAAATCCGTTACCGGTCAGCGAGACCTTGAAATATACCTAAACTATACTGTTCAATAAATTTTAATAATTATCCGACTAAAAATCATTTTGAATTACTATTTTTAGACGCATTCCAAAACCCAAAAAGGAAAATGTTACATTTAAATATATTTTCAACATTCCAGAAACCAGGGAGCAATTAAATGAACGGACGTCCTTCTTGGATTTATCCTCGACTTATGGAAGCAGTGAAAGACGTTTAAAAGACCTCAGGGAATTTGAAAGCAAGTTATTTGATTAACCCAGAAAAAAATCATTGTTAAAACTACGCGTAAGGGTAAAACATAAATATGTACACTTTTTAGCTCACCTGGCTTAAATCACGTGGAGTCATTCATCGTCCGTTATCGGATGTCCTATGTTCGACGTGAATTTGTTAAAAGAATTCTTCTGAAACTATAAAACCAATTTCAACCATACTTGGGGTGAATGATTCTTATGGTATCTGGTATTAAGTATGTGTTTTTCCCCTGGTCAGTCTAGAAACATTTATATCATAAGAACAAACAGCATTTATTGACTAAGATCTTGGCAACAAAATAAATAGAGAGAATCTGACATGATACACATTTTTAGAATGTCTAGATCAACCTATCTTCTATGTTCACCAAAAAATATAAAGGGACCCCTAAAGAAGTTATTGGCCTTAACTGACGATTTTCGGAAAGTGTTTGTGTTTTTACCTTTTTCTCAAAACTAGATAAAAAAAGCAGAAACTGTATATGGTACACAAAATCAGCTTTACAATCATACCACATCTTCCTATTTTCATAAGATCTATAAAATTTGTTAGATTGACCGAACAATTTGATGACTCATAAAACAAATATATAAGCCTGAAAGAACACAACCCAAAAATATTGAGTAAATACTCTAAGGTGACCCTCTACAAATTAAAATTTGTATGCTGATCTGTAATCAAAGATGGACACCAGTATAATATATATAGCCTAATTAAAACATAAACATTGGACTAGATTGAAAATGCATTTTGAAATATTTCTAGTTTTACATTTGGCCAACAAGATCGATTGATCATTATAATGACCTTACAGAAAAACGAAATATTTTATGTTATTCTTCAATCCAAGATTGCCTACAGCTTATAATTAAACCATAATATGACAAAAACATGTAAAACGTCCTTCACTTTTTTTATTTTCTATGCTTGAATCGAGTATAGCGATTCTAGCTCCTTGGAGCCTTTGGGTATTTTCATCTCTGCCTTATCACTTAACACGCAGGTATTTAATATTAAGTTCTAATACATTATGGAAAAAATATGTTATAACAACACGATCGAAGTATTTAAAAACGAAAAACGACGAAAAGATAGAGAACAGATGACAAAACAGTACATACAAAACTAAAGACTGAGTAACACAACCAAACTAAACCCGAGTTGACCTCGTGTGCTCTGGTAGGGTAAGCAGCTTGGTGTGTTTGAGCTTTTGATTTTGCCTTTTGGTCATGTTGATTTGGGACTTTCCGAGGAAAAGAAGACGGGATTGTTATTACGACAATATGAGGATATCCGTGATTATCTGTGAAACATATTTTCTATAACGGCCATTCATGTCATGATGTCGTCCGTTAAACGTCCGAAGGGATAACTTTAACTTTACTACTTTGAATCCTAGGATCATTGGATTCCTTGTAAGCAGCAACCCTTTGTCAAAGAAATCATGAAAATACCACAAAATATTGAATATGGTATCGATTTGCAGATACATTGTACATATAGTTGTTAACTTGTATGTAATTTGGTCTTTAGTGGAGAGGTTTCTCATTGGCAATTATACCACCTCTTCTTATTTTTATATTAATGTACAGTAGTTTTGAATATTATAACATAACAATGGAAGTTAACAATCCAGAAGCTGAAACCATCTTTATTGTCGTAGTATTTTAGTTTTTAACCGATCCGCATTTTGATATATATTAAATTCATATTTTCCTATTTTAAAGATGGACGACTGAATGCAAGTTCAGATGACCTTCTGCCTGATGGTCCACCTAATGATGACTGTTTACCTACTCAAATTTGTTTCATTTCTGGTAAGGATAATACGCTTAAGTTTATTTTTAATTTCTTGTGAAAATTACTCAGATGTACTTACGTTAGGCTATTCCTAAAGAATGTTGTTAGTATATTATACATTCACGCATCCTTTCTGGGGTTTTTGAAAAAGTATTTAATTGACATGTTAAACTCTTTTGGAAAAAAATCATTACACAAATTAACATACAGATAAAAAAAGACTAGAACATTTCAATGTGTAATAAATAATTTCACAAATGAGAAAGGTATATGATACTTTTTGTAAGGTATAAAAGTATGAACTATTGTTTTTCTCACTTTTTCGCCACTCGTGTTTTTTTTTCTTTTGTGGTGATTTTGGAAATTGAATGACCACACTATCTATCACTCCTTACCTGTTGGATATCAAAAGTGTATACCTTCCAAGACTACACTCTGATGATATCGGATTACTTAAGATGTAAAGAGCTAACAAAAAAAGAGGTCGGATGTACCAAAGAGAAAATCCAAATCTTATAGTCGAAGGCAAACCGACAGCAACATGGCATTAAACATAATACAACACGTAACACGACAAAACTTGAACAGTAAAGACTTCACTTTATATTTGAAACCTTTAAGAAAAAATATAAAATCAATTCAACTGAAAAAAAAGTCGAAACATATATTTTTACATAGTGTATACTATTTGGTTTCTGTTAGTAAATAAAACTGAACTGCAGTTTTATTTGAATATGTGTATACGTTTCAGGCGATGATCGGTTCCAAGAAATTCCTATGCTAACAGTTATCCACATCAACTTTCTTAGGGAGCATAATCGTATAGCAGAAAAACTCCATAAAATCAACCCTCATTGGAAAGATGAGAAATTATTTCAGGAAGCAAGGAAAATCTTGACAGGAATATATCAACATATTGTTTATAATGAGTTCATACCGCTACTGGTTGGAAAGTATACAGCCCTAGGCTCTAACTTATTAAGTACGAGCACAGGCCATCGTAACAGTTACAATCGGTTCGTCGACCCAGGTACTCACAACGGGTTTGGAGTGGCTGCCTATAGATTTGGTCATTCTTTAGTAGGACGTTTCACTCGTGCACTCAAATCAAATTTTGAAGAAAAAGCTTCAAATGAATTACGATTTGACTTTTTCAATAATGTAAAAATTCGAGACTCTACAATTGGCCCAACACGTATTGGTCGATGGATGGCAAACATGGTAATGAGGAAAAGAGATAAGTTTATCTCCGATCAAGTGAGAAATCATTTATTTGAAACCAAGTTTACTTTTCCTAGTAATGGTTTCGATCTAGCAGCCTTTAACATCCAAAGAGGACGAGATCATGGCATACCTGGTTACAATAAGTTTAGAGAGTTCTGTGGTTTATATGCAGCAACCATGTTTAACGATGGACCAATGGGATTCCGAGACCATGATTATGACACTATTCAAAAACTGAAAAGCAGTTATAGGTACGCACGCATAAATGTAAGATCTCCTAGTTTATGACAGATTGTTTAAGTCAGGTATACTAGTATTGCTCTAAAAATGCAATTTACCTCGTACGATTTTACTTTTTAATCAAGTTTTATCTGTTTCTATTGAAATCAAATTACATTTTTGAGCATTTAGATTTAAGTGAGATGTGTATAGGTCAAAAATTATGACATAAATAAAAGGTGAAAATATTTTAATTTTTTTCTCTAATTTTGATCAATTGTTCGTCCATTATCAATTGACCAATAAACGAAACAGGATTTGTACTATGCTGGAGGTAGTTTGGATCCCCTGCAAAAGTATTTTTTTTATACTTCAGCCTTTGAGACGTCAATAAACTGCAAACATAAAGTTCAATATAACAAAAACACTATTCCATGGACATATTGTTTATTTTTACCGCTGTTTAGATAGTCTGTATTCGAAAATTGTATTTGCATTACACTTTTTGAAAGAGAAAAAAGATATAAAGGGACAATAGAAAAGTATAAGTCATGAAACATACAATATCATGGTCAAGAGAGAATGCTCCAGAAGTGTAAGATAATATGATGCCTCTATTGGCAATATCGTAAACATTAATAAAATGTGGTCGTTGTGCATTAGTGATTTAGTTGATACGATATATTGTATTACTTTTTAGTCATCCAGATGACGTGGATCTGTTTGTTGGTGGTATATCAGAAAAACCAAACCAGAACGGTGATATATTAGGACCAACATTTAAATGTTTGATAGCACAACAGTTCCAGAGGTACAAAGAAGGAGATAGATTCTTCTACGAAAATCCTTTCAAAGACACGGGATTTACTGTCGGTATGTAACTCCGACACTTTATTTTAGATTTGTGATTACATCGGTAAAAGGTTGTGTATTCTATTGCTATCTAGGGCCTTTGTTACTGTCCTGTGTAAGCACTAGATATAGTCTAGAAGCTTATGAGAATACACTTTGTAATAATGCTACTATGGATATCATTAAATGTGAAATTGGTTCTGATCTGACATAAGTGCAATGTCAAATACCAGGGTGATGTTAACTAGACTTTAAAGATCTAACTCTTGAAAAACACATACTGAACTATGTATCTATAGTACTCTGGGTTCATTTATTTTCGTGGGTATCGATTTTCGTGGATTGAGGAACACTTATATTCTCGTGGATACTTGATTTCGTGGTTTTGCAAAACTCTGCATACAAGCCTATAAAAAATTTGTAATTAGTTGAAAATTTAAATTCGTGGTTCACCTGTACCCACGAAATCTACGACATTGGTATCCAACGAATAATAATGAATCCACAGTATAGCCTCATGAAGCATTAAAACTTGATCTCAAATTTATAACAAGCTAGAATAATTTCAGGAAACTATGATATGGCTCAGTTATGGTAAACAATTCAAAGAAAATAGTACATTGTGTATATTGTTATCTGAAAAAAAATCCTTTAATATGGAAATAAAAAGATGTGATATGATTGGCAATGAGACAACTATCGACCAAAGTTCAAATGAAGGGGGTGCAAGCAATTTAGAATGTCTTTTAAACTTCATATGTTTGAAAACTAGTGAAAAGCAAAACGAACCATATATTATTTTAATATACCCTTTTAACAAAGAGTATGCAACTTCATTATTGATATATAAATAAATCGTGTATGCCCTAATTAATTGTTTAAGTGTCTTTTCCAATTTAGTTATAAGGTTGGAGTGTACGTCTGAACTCACCGGACCCAAAGGGCCAAGTGAGCTTTTCTCATCACTCGTCACCATATTTAGTTTAAAACCTGTGTCCGATATCCCCGCTAGATTAATTCTTTTATTGTTTTAACTGACAAATTTTACCATTTTATTTTCATTTTTGTCTACCGTTTGGAGAGCTATAATAGACGGGAGAGAAATTTTAAAGGCCAACAGGATCAGCAAGACAAGATGTACAAATAAGTCAGATGGTCGAAATCGTCAGTCGACTCCTTATTTAAGTCATTGCCAATTGAAAGACGATGTAAAAAGCCAAATGATCAACAAGACAAGATCTAAAAAAAGTTTAATAACTGGAATTGTTAGTAGACTCTTTATTGGAGTTATTGTCCTTTAATAATGACTTTTACCAATTGATAGCGGTTTTCCCTTATATCTTAAACACTATAATAGATACATAACTAGATATGTCCGATGACCCCCTCTGTCCTGCTATATGCATCAGACTAGTTCAACATACTTTAGATTTGACAGACAGTGATGTTGAAGGTACAACTTGAAATCGTTGTGCTGTCTTAACGGTAGTTAACCGATGTTCAAACCTAATAAATCTAGTAAGAATAGACAAATCAAGGTAACAAATAAAACTGAGGGAATCACATTAACTCTAAGAGCAAGACCGGGTGCTTCGACAGGGTATGTGTCTCTTGCTCTGAATGCATCCACCACCTGTAATGCAAATCCACACTCAGTCATTGTGTCGTTTTCAGGAATAGGACACATACCCGGTATATGTATATTTGCAGATCGGATGACTATTCCGATTGACAAACATGGACAAGCAATAAATATCCCTTCAGTTATATTGGCCATTTAAACATTTCAAAACAATTTACAACGTAAAACTAAGCAAAATGCTGACTGTTGTTTGTCTTTTGATCATTTTCGTTTTTTGACATTGCATTGTTAGCTAGTTTTTCTAATTATTGAAAATCCCTTTGGTATTTTCCGACTGATTTTTTACAGATGTCATCATACTTGCATATATGTTGACATGTATTCAGTAAAGCATGATAATTGGTATTCCACAGCAGGTAATTTCATTTACATTTTATTTATGTATGTCAAATCCTCGTTACAGAACAACTAAATGACATTAAGAAACAGACATTTGCGGGAATATTTTGCCGCAGTTTGAAGCTTGCTGTCATACAAAGGAAAGTTTTTGAAAAAGAAAGTTACATGTACGTATTTGTATTTGGTCTATTTTATACTAATGTATTTGTAAGCTCTTGAGATCATTGGAGACAAAATACGCGGACAGCAAGCTGCATGTAATCTGAGACCTGTTTCACGAGAACAACAGGAAATACCAATATTATTGTACAATATATACAGACAATTTTGTGATGAGCAAGATGCCACACCAGCTACCAATGTCGCTCCAACAACAAAAATGAACAACACATGGTCTAGATAGCTGAACTTCGTAAAGGCATACAATGATTAGATAGCGTTTAAATTTATTTCATCAGTGACATTAGTATACGGAGTTGCGGAAAATGGCACGATATACGAGTGTGAACTTTTGTACTCTTAACTTCTAGTACTTTATTTAAAAAATAATTTAAATAGAACAAACTGCCTCTTTCTACGACTTATATTAATATTAAAGAACAAAGCACGTAGTTACAAATTAAATATTAAAATTGTATTCAAGAAGATCTTCTTGTGGAAATTAAAAACCACGTCATGCTAATGTAAAATTGTCTACGGGGTCCAAAGGGTTGTAAATGACACATGTACGTTGTATGCTTTATGTTATGTATTGGTTTTTTTTTTTTTATTTGAATGATTATATTATGAATATTAAAAAATAGCATACTAAAGCAATACGTATATGAATTTCTTTTCAAAATATTATCTGTAAAATTTATAAATTTGTTCTCGATTCTGGTCTACCTCAGGGGGGCACTGCTAATGACAACCCATATTCATACCGAACGCCTGCTACTACATGTATATTATTAGTCTTTCAGTATTTTAAATGTATTAAATGTAAACGTATAATGGTAAAAAGAATACAGAAATGCTATTGTAACAGCTTTCATTATTATTTTCAGAAATCCACGTGTAAATTGTGATAAAGTTGCACAACCAAAGTTATATCTATGGAAAGAAAAAAGGGTTATTTGAAACATTAAAATTTTGAATTTTTGTAGGCTTTTCAATTGTATTCACTATAAACGCTATCGTATCATCAACATACAAAAAAGCCTTGATGTACCAAATTTGTCCAAGAAAATATTATCTCCGGAACCGCAGTCTAATGTAATAACCACTGTTTATAAACATGCATTATTCATGAAACGTGTCCATGATATATATTTTTATATGGTTGACAGGGTCGATGTTTTTAGATCATTGAAAATATTTAAAAAAATGAAATTAGGGTGATTTGGTATTTGTACGAGCAACATAACGGGTGCCACATGCGAAGCAAGAACTACCTACCCTTTCGGAGCATCTCAGTTCCCCCGGTTTTGATGGTGTTTGTGTTGCGCAAACTTTATTTTTTCGCCATTGCGTTGTCACTTTTAGTTTTGAATGTCACCTTGCAATCTTCCCCTTTTTATATGAAGTCGCTTGTCAATTTTGAGGTCAATATTTACGTACTGAATATCAAAAATAGAATCACAGGCAAACAGCCTTAAACTGAAAAATATTAAGACATGCACAATGCAAACATTTTTATGTGTCTCATATTGTCCAGCAAATGAACTTTCAAATATATTTATTATCAAGATATCAAACATGATGATCTAAGTTCTAAAGATCCTTTGTTTGGATCATAGGGATTTACAAAAAACAAAAACATATGTGCATGCACTTTTTTTCATTATATTTAAAGAAACAATCTTTACTTTTACTCTCAATTTATCTTTATAGTTAAAATGAAGAAAATGTGTGTAAAGGTTAGATATGTGGTAATAATCTGGAAGTAAGTTTAGAGCTACTTTCTTAATGCTTGTAGTTTAAAGGGTTGGTTGGCGTGTTGCTTTGTTTGTATAAATGTTTGCTCAAGCATTGTAATTAAGATAGACATCTGCAATCAATAGATAGGCGAGGCTTCAGCTTGTATACATTATACTAGTAGTTAAATGTCATTGGATGTTAAGTATAATGCAAAGTACAATGTATACAAGCTGAAGCCCGACCTATGATTGCATATGTCAATCTTAATTACAATGCTTGAGCAAACATGTATACAAACAAAGCTAGCAAGCCAACCAAACCTTTGAACTACAAGCATTAGGAAACAAGCTCTAATAGAGTATTTTTTAGAGGTTCGTGTTGCGTAGTCTTTAGTTCTCTGTGCTGTGTTTTGTATGCTGCTGTTTGTCTTTTTGTCTATTTCTTGTTTTGTCATGGCGTCTTCACTTTATTTTCGATTTATGAGTTTGAATGCCCCTTTGGTATCTTTCACCTCTCTTTTAGACCCTGCAATATGACCTTAACTTAACCCTGCCACATTATGTATGTGCCTCTCCTAAGTCAGGAGCCTGTAATTCAGTAGTTGTCGTTGTTGCTGTATATCATATTTGTATTTCGTTCATTGTTTTTTACATACATCAGGCCGCTAGTTTTCTCGTATGAATTGTTTTACATTTGTCATTTAGGGCCTTTTAAAGCAAACTATGCGGCATGGGTTTTGCTCATTGTTGAAGGCCGTACGGTGACCTATAGTTGTCAACTTCTTTGTCATTTTGGTCTCTGGTGGAGAGTTGTCTCATTAACAATTATACCACATCTTTTTTATATTGTTTGTAAGACACTTAATATAAAATTCGGTTTCCATGTTGAGTGATGAAAGATCCAGTTATCTAAATAAGGTTAAAATTAGGAAATAATGAAAATAAAACAAATGTACAACTGTTCAAGATTTACTTTAATTTGAGTGTTTAAGGAGCAAACGTTTGTTTTAAGGGAATTTTCAAACTGAGTCAACATTTAAAGTAATTGTTGCCACGATCCATTACATAAAATCTAAAGATTGGGAAAAACTTAATTCGTCGTCCTGAACTTACATGAAATATTTCCAACTGGACATTAAGCAACCAAAAAATAATCAATCTTAATCCGTTGGAAACAGATGTGCTCTCAAATGATCAAAATATGCCACCGATCGTGTTCCTCACGTGAGAATATCACTGGACCAGTTCAGTAGGAACTGTTTACCCTTCCCGAGTATCTTATTGACTGATGGTTTTTTAATGCTTTGTTGAATGTTTAACTCAATGTCAAGTTTTCTATATGATGTTTTGTGAGTTAGTATTTGTCTTTTTTTATATCGCTTACTGGTACCATATGTCTGGAACTGAACTCATCATTGACATGTTATCGCAGTCTTACATCTTAACACATCATAAAAGTCGTCCAAATAAAATAAACAATAAACGTCTCTATTTAGGTCTTTTATCCCATTGTGACATTTTTGACTGAGTCTGGATTCGCAAGACATGTTCACATACATAGCAGGAGAGGCTTACCGATTGTATCATTCCCAATTATGATTTTTTGACGGAGTGTGAATTCTTATGGCAGACGATGCATGCACCACAGAAGGCGCTTTCCTTGTCGCACACCCAGTCTCGCTTCTTTTATAGTTTATTCAATTCCCCCTGATTTGGGTTGTTGCTTTGATTTGTGTTTTTTCAACCGATCTCGATATTTCGACTTTGTTAACTACTGTCGCCTTTATTTACCTTATCGGCGCACTTTTCTGGCTATAATTTGAGTTTATGTGATTGTCTAAGGTTTTTGTTTTCTTTGTTTGTAGTAACCTTCGATTCATCTTGATAAGAAATATTTCTTGAAAGGTTATGTACGAAGAAAAAAAGAAGGGTATCATACCATGTAGAGTTCTTAAATATGAATAACATGGATAACAAAAAAGTTGAATTTTTTTTTTTATTTTCATTATCTTTAATCTAAACATAACAAATGCAAGACTGGCAAAATCTTCTCTAACCAACAACATCCAAGAAGCAACATTTACACGTTTGTTATAAAACCTAGAACACTATGAAGATCGTTTCTCTAATTTATTAACGTGTCTTTCGACCGGAAACTACTTGCTATACCAAGTGGACAAATAACACCATGTGTTATCTCAACCGACAAAAGACACAATGTGATATCTCACAAATGACACAATGTGTGATCTGAGCCGACAAATGACACAATGTGTTATCTGAGCCGACAAATGACACAATGTGTTATCTAAGCAGACAAATGACACAATGTGTTATCTAAGCAGACAAAAGACACAATGTGTTATTTAAGTAGACAAATGACACAATGTGTTAACTAAGCAGACAAATATGAGTATTAGGTTGACATCACTTATTTAAAACAAATAGAACCAAAAATTTTGATTAATCCATGTGCATACACTAATGTGTGAAAATGATAATAAGAAAAATGTTAGTCTGATGCTGAATTATAAAACTGACAATTTTTAACATCAAACACAATAAGCGTATCAGCTAGCCATCTGTTCGCATTGTCGTACTAGCTGATATTCCAGATCCCGTAACCGATCCAGCGGCACGTTATAAACATGGCATATTCATTACATCAGGATTTCATATGATCACTATACTGTCGCACTTATACTTGCTGGGTCGCCATTTCTGTTCCACCATTCTACAACAAAGAGACATGTAACCATGAAAAAGGTTTATTGACATGAATTTAAAAATATAATTTTGTATTTGTATTTAGTGGTTATGGTGAGTAAATGCGTTTATTCCATATTAGAATTATTTTCGTAGATTTTTCTATATTATTTGGATTTTGAATTAAAAAAAACGTTAAAAAGAGAAAAAAAAATACGGAAATTGAAATTCAATATGTCACATGCTAAATGAAGAAAAATGCTAAACTTTATATGCACCACGCAATACGTCACGTACAAACCGAAGTGATATTCACCGCGAAACATCATTTAATTTAACATGTATCAGAATGGCAAAATGTACGATTTACAAATTGTTTTAGTATATAGTTTTTTCTCTGAATGTGGAATAAAACAATATTTTGTTTCTGTTAATCTGTGAATACATGAATACATTACAAAATCTGTTTAGGTTTAACATCATTCAGCTGTTGGTTTTCTTGTTTAGTTTGTCATTGCGGGGTCTTTTATATCTTACTTCACGGTATAGGAGTTGCTCATTGTGTGAGGAGTACAATGGCCTATAATAAACAAACATGTTTAACCAAGCCACATTCTTTATGTGCCTGTCCCAAGTCAGGAGGAGCCTGTAGTTCAGTGGTTGTCGTTGGTTGGTGTCTGTCATATTTGTTTTTCGTAAATGGTTTTGTTATAAATTATGTCGTTAGTTTTCTCGTTTGAATTGTTTCACTTTTTTCATGTCGGGGCTTTTTATAGCCGATTATACGGTGTGGATTTTACTCATTGTTGAAGGCCGTACAGTGGCCTATAATTGCTTACATCCACTTCATTTGAACTTTGGTGGATAGTTGTCTCATTGGCTATCATACCACATCTCCCTTTTTTATATAGAAGTTTCAAATCTCTGGTGAATATACGTCGATTTGAATAGACATGAAGTGTTCTTCTAGAATAAAACAGAGGCGGAAGATATCAAAAGGAGAACCAAAACTCATAACCTTCAGCATATAGTATAATAACCTTCAGCATATAGTATAATAACCTTCAGCATATAGTTTAATAACCTTCAGCATATAGTATAATAACCTTCAGCATATAGTATAAAAATATATAGATTCAATATCTATTTCTGCAAATTTGAGAAAATGTCAAATGGAACTAATTTTACGTCTAATTTGGCCCCATATCGTACTTTGTCCGTTGTGGAAAATTTGAAAGAAATGAAAAAGAATAATAAGTGAAGAATGTTCGGGGTATTTACTGATCAAATACAGCATTCCTATGTAATGTCTGATTATTCGCTGAATTCGTACACTATAAAATTGAGAATGGAAATGGGGAATGTGTCAAAGAGACAACAACCCGACCAAAGAGCAGAAAACAGCCCAAGGCCACCAATGGGTCTTCAACACAGCGAGAAAATCCCACACCCGGAGGCGGGCTTCAGCTGTTCCCTAAACAAAAATGTGTACTAGTTCAGTGAAAATGGACGTCACACTAAACTCCGAAACATATAAATGAACTAAAATTAAAAATATATACAAGACTAACAAAGGCCAGAGGCTCCCCACTTGGGACAGGCGCAAAAATGCGGCGGGGTTTATCATGTTTTGTGAGATCTCAACCCTCCCCTATACATCTAGCCAATGTAGAATAAACAAACACACAGCAATACGCACAGTAAAACTCAGTTTAAAAGAAGTCTGATTTGGTATGTTGCTACAAGCGTACGTAAAATAAAATCGAAATTATCTACATATCTTTTTCAGCAAATTTTAAAAAGCTATATAAACAATTCATTTTTTATTCTCCAAACTTCCATGTCTTTTCTTACCCGTTGTTGATCTGTTATGTTTGGTAATTTAAGATATTTTTTTCTTACTTGATGTTATTCTGTTCTATTTTGTGATTTTTAAAAGTAAGATTTTATTCTCTTACCTGGTTTGGATCTGTTCTGTTTGGTAATTTAAGTAATATTTTAGGAGATTCCATCTCTACATATCGAAAGTCCCAAGTATATGTTAAAGCAAAGGTTAAAATAGCGGAGGCCAGAAACCATTCTGATATAGTGGATAACAAGTAAACGCCTCTAAACATCGCCTGAAATAGACAACAAATCGTGAATAAAACATTCATTGCTACATCGCCTTAAATAGACAAGAAATCGCGAAAAACATTCATCGATACAGATCGCCTTAAATAGACCAGAAATTATAAAAATTATTTTCAAGATTAATTGAAACATCGCCTGAAATAGACAAGATCTCGTGAAAGGATTGCTACAACGCTTAAATAGACAAGCAAAAAATCATTCTAGACAAGATATCGTGAAAATATATTTTAGATAAATTCTCTACAATAGGCAAGATATCGTGAACAATATATTTCAGATAATTCGTCTGAAATAGGCAAGATATCCTCAAAACTCGAATTTATTCCTTGATGTATTATAGACTGAAAATAACTACTAGACAACTAGATAAATTTGATATGATTTGGTTTACCAACTTACATATAAATAATATCAAGAGAAAAAAAACAATGGGTAAATAGAAAAGCAGGAAATACAAATAACGGACAGTATAATATACATTAACGGACAGTATAATATACATTAACGGACAGTATAATATACATTAACGGACAGTATAATACACATTAACGGGCAGTATAATATACATTAACGGACAGTATAATATACATTAACGGACATATAACATACATTAACGGACAGTATAATATACATTCACGGACAGTATAATACACATTACCAAGTATTCAATTTATCGACTGAAATAGTCATACATCATGAATGATAAGGCACTAAGAGTAGATGTTTGATATTTGCAAAAGAAACAGCAACCCAACAACACATATAAATCAACAGACATATATGGACGTTTATTGTTAATGTGTTGGTCAACCGTCACTAGCTATAGACATTTGTTTATACAATATGTCAATTGCAAGCTCTAAATCGTTCCATATCAATAAAGTTTTATTGTGAATAAATTTAAGTGTGTCACAATAAATTCTTTTAAAAAAGGACAAAAATATAAAGAAGATAAAACTAAAGACAACCAGTGTCATGGTTCATGAATTGATACAGAGAATAAAATGTGAATAGGTTAAAACAGGTGTATGTGTGTTCAATCCCCTTTTAATGAAAATAAGTGGCATGGTTCATGACTTGGGACAGACAGTACAATTTAGATAGGTTAAACCAGGTTTATGAGTACTCAATCCCCCATTAATGTAAATTAGTGTCATGGTTCATGGCTTGGGACAGACCATAAAATATAGAAAATGTAGATGGGTTAAACTAGGTTTCTGACTTCTCAGTCCACCTTTAATGCAAATCAGTGGCATTGTTCATGACTTGGGACAGACAATAAAATATAGAAACGTTAAACTAGGTTTCTGAGCACATTTCCTTTTAATCTAAACCAGAGGAATAAAACAAAAAGCCACATAAAAGAATAATAATGTATAACTTACCCTTGCCTCGGAGAATCCATGTTCTTTTTCCTTCAGTTTGAACATAATTTTAGATATACCAACTAATAAGTGATGTAAGGAAAATTAAAATGCTGTAAAACATCCTTTTATAAATGTACACAAATGGTAGGAGAAAAACTGACAAAAGGTTTAAAATTGCCAAAAATATATCCCTTGTTACAAGAATTGATAAACTATCTCTGACTTTATAGTTCAATAAGTGTATCTCAAAAACATTTTAACATTTCAAAATATTACAAAAAAATCCATAGTTGAAATCATGTATCAAAAGAACGAAATATTCTTTTGTTAAAATAATGAAAATCAATAAATCGAAGCAATACTTAGCATAAGAATTCAATAAATGGGGAATGTGTCCATCGGACCCAGATGATGCCTCCGCTTGCATATAACGTTATAAAGGGACATAACTCAAGAACTGTAAAAGTGACGCTACCCAAATTTGTACTTGATCTGTGTTTTGTGGTAATAAGCATTGTGTATAAGTTTCATAACATTTGGTTGAGGCAAACTAAAGTTAGAAAACTTTGTACTTGATCTTAGTTTTGTGGAAATGAATATTGTGTATAGGTTTCATAATGTTTGGTTTGGGCAATTTTTCCATTTATAAAGGGGCATAACTCTAGAACGGTTGAAGTGACGCCACCAAAATTCAAACTTGATCTGTGTTTTGGGGTAATAAGCATTGTGTATAAGTTTCATAACATTTGGTTGAGGCAAACTTAAGTTAGAGAACGGAAACGAAAAATTTTGCAATTTTTCCATTTATAAAGTGGCATAACTCTAGAACAGTTAAAGTGACGCCACCAAAATTCAAACTTGATCTGTGTTTTGTGGTAATAAGCATTGTGTATAAGTTTCATAACATTTGGTTGAGGCAAACTTAAGTTAGAGAACGGAAACTAAAATTTTTGCAATTTTTCCATTTATAAAGGGGCATAACTCTAGAACATAATGTAGAGCTTTCTGTGCATCTGTCTGGAAAAAAAAGTTATGAACAAATTAATATGAAACATTGTAATTTGCTGTTATCTTGGTCATAAATGAATAATAAAATAGTGTTGTTTACCCCAAATATCAAATAATTTTCGTAAAATGAATTTATGATGACTTTTTTGTTGAGCAATAGATTAGATTAGAAAGTGACGCCACCAAAATTCAAACTTCATCTGTGTTTTGTGGTAATAAGCATTGTGTATAAGTTTCATAACAGTTGGTTGAGGCAAACTAAAGTTAGAGAACGGAAACCAATTTTGGGACGTACGTACGTAAGTACAGAAGGACAAGGGTAAAACTCAATGCCCCCTCCGCTACGGCGGGGGCATAAAAAGGGAATAATTTCTGAAGTGATAATTATTGTATATCTATATTTCAATGTGGTTTGATTTAGAACATACAGTCATCTATATATGGTATATACTATGTTTTAATTCGTGGACATCATGTAAAGGATACAAGTGACAAGTAACACTGTGAGAGCTATACTGTTGATTAGTTGTGCAATGGCTATATATCTGTTGCCAATGTTATTACTTTTAAGTTTCCATGACAACCGAGTCTGTACAAAACAATAAACAGTTCCCAATCCAAACGCCAGTCCTGCTCCAACGTAATGTAGAGCTTTCTGCGCATCTGTCTGAAAAAGATATGAAACATTGTAATTTATAGTTATCTGGGTCATAAATGGATAATAAAAAAGAGCTTTTTTCCCTAAATATTATATATTTTTCGTAAAATGAATTCATGATGACAATTGTTGCGTAATAGATTAGATGGTGTTTTTACTATTTCCAAAACTGATAATGCAGATAATTAAACTTCTATAATAACATTTTGAAACACAAGATTATTTGTTGAGTAAAAACGCAACGTACATAATTATTCTATGCAAAAACACACATTTTTTTTGAATTGAAGATAGCAACTTTTCTGTCAAAACAATTATATAGCCAATTTTCTGTCAAAACAATTATATAATGTACTAATTTATACTGAAATTTAAAATCTTATCATAGCTTAAAACTATATTGTAGTAACATTTTGACATTGCATGTAGAATTCAGATATCTTTTTGACGTGATTCTATTAAAATAAAATGTTGAACACTATATAGTTACAGTTACAGCTATTCAAACTTAAAACAGTTTGTCAGTTACCTGAAAGTTGGCTACCATACTAATACCAAGTGCTGATACAATTCCGATGATTGCACCAGCTATATTAAATTTCTGCCACCATACAACATCATCTGCAAATTTTTTCTGTCTAAAAACTTCCTTCAAGTACCAGTATCTTACAACAACGTTCATACCCACTTTATGAAATAAAAATAACGATATAAGAATAAAACCACTGATATCTGGAGTCGCTAGTCATAGATACTTGATTTTTTTTCTTTTTTATATAATGAGTTTCTTTTTATTTGCACATGAACATAATAGTATGTTATATACATTTTATGCATAATATGATACATGTATATAGGTAGAAGATATACAACATATTAAATAGACACAGCTAAAATAGTTTGATACATTGCAGAATATGATTGCAAGACAAAGGCTGCTTGGACAGAGAATACATATTCTTAATTTTTTATAATATATGGTGTCTGTTGTTTATTTTTGTTTTTATGACAATAAAGGAGTCCAGGGGTTCCAGCAGTTCTCTACCCTACTGAGTCTTTTTTTTTTTAAATATATTTTTTTTCAATTAATAAGGATTGAAATTTTGTACGCCAGACTCGCGTTTCGTCTACAAGACTCGTCAGTGACGCTCGAATCAAACAAGTTAAAAAGACCAAATAAAGTACGAAGTTGAAAAGCACCGAGGACCCAAAGTTCCTAAATATTTGCAAAATACAGCTAAGGTAATCTATTCCTATGGTAGAAAATCCTTAAATCAATGTTCTAGAGCTTAGGAATTTTCTTGATACAGGTTTTCTACTTATAGGAAAGCTACAAGAACTGAAACTAAGAGTTCTAAAAGTTAACAAGACGAACACGTACACCATAATAAAACTTGACGTTAGACATAGATGACCAACAATATGTTCTGTTCACACTAGCTATGACTCTGTCCTCATCAATGAACATTGTTCTTCTTCGGATTGTCTGTCGAGTTTGAGAACCAAGTACTGCCCATTTTAATCTAATTCTATTTAGAGACTTCAAAAAAACTGTTATGAGTGGAATTTGTTTAATCGTTTGAGTAGCAGTACTTAACTAAGAAACGAACTGCCACTTCCAGAAGTAGTGGGCACATTTTGAACCAGATTTTTAAAATTAATTGCCGTCTTGTTTTTTCTTGTTCAACATAGTGGTTATCCTATTGATGATTGCATGCTGGCGATTTTACTTTTACGATAAATGGTCAAGATAGACAAAGTCATAGGTTTGAGCATACGTAAAATTAAACTAATTTAAGCCAAAAATTGTTTTGTGCTTGTCTTTATTTAAACGTCATTTTCGACGGAATATTCGGTTGTTGGTGATTGTTTGTTGTAGTCACGTCATTTCTCTAAAAGTTCATGTTATCCTTTTTCTATGCGACTATCATACAAGTGAGAGGTTTAGCTAGCTATAAAACCAGGTTTAATCCATAATTTTCTACATAAGGAAATACCTGTACCAAGTCAGGAATATGACAGTTGTTTTCCAATCCTTTGATGTGTTTGATATTTTGATTTTGCCATTTGATAAAGGACTTTCCGTTTTGAATTTTCCTTGGAGTTCGGTATTTTTGCTATTTTACTTTTTATGTACCATTTAGCAGATCGAACATGGCTAATATTTCGTCTTTGACATATGTCCATCGACTGGATTATATGAATAAAACTTACGCATAACAGCACCGATGTTAATTAGCTGTCCAAATACACATCTTTCGGGAGAATCTCTCGCCGTGTGGCTACAAGTATCAAAAATAGGGTTAAACTATACAACTTCCAAATATTATGTAGACATGTGTCCTTCGTATTTTAAAAACAAGCCTTTCCCATCTTAACATAAACATAAAACAGTAAGCTTATGATTTATTGTTTTATCGTTTTGCGAGTAAAAATCTGATATTTACACAATAAACTTAACACGTGAAAAAACCAACGTGTCAAGCACTGACATAATCTTGACATGAGGAATATTTTATCGTTAAAACGTTGTGGTTTGTATCAACCAAACGTTTAACTTTGAAGTGTTATCTTTGTAAGAGAATTTGTTATGCATATACTATCAACACGAATAATGCTTATGAAAAGAATAATTGATAATGATTTATTTTATTTGTTACACGGTGCTTTTTTTCTTTGCATGAATTCGAATTTCTGTTAGCACATAAAAATGAAACCATTCATAACACAGCACTGTGAATTAGTATGATAATCAAAATGGGGAAAAAGCTTGCACGTGCATTATTTAGATAGACATGTTAATAAACCCAACACAAACATAAATCAGAAAAAAATAACAAATGTATATATATATATTATAGAGATTATCCTACTTCACTGGCCTTTTGTGATTTTTAATTCGTAAAACCGAACATACTTTAATTACAAACAAATATTATTTAGCAACATATATTTATTTACCTTATGTAGGGAAAATCAGGTTCTACATGACCATAACTAACTGCAATAGCGTACCTACAAAAATTATATACATCAGTTTGATTGTTTGTTGGTGTTTAGCGCCACATTCAAGACTCTAAGCTATATAATGGCGTACTGTTTTTTGTTGGAAGTATCTGAAGAGAAGCACCGACCTTTTACAAAGTAAAAATCTGGCAATTCTTGCCAATTAAGTTCGGAATTGAACACACATCGCAACGAGAAGGGTTTGAACTCTCAAAATCACTGTGGACGAATGTCTTAGACCCCTTGGCCATCAAGGCTTCTATTTGCATCAGTAAAGTGCGTTTGTTTTTATTACAAATTATTCAGAATACTGCTTGCTATCATGTACACAGTCATGCATTTCTAAAATAATTCTGTTTTTTTTTAAGTTCTATTAAAGAAGCTTTAACAGTCTACTTCGATTATTAATTAAAAATAACATAATTATCTAAGAAACACACAAGAGAAGGCATTATATGTTTTTTTGATAAGTCAAATCCTTTGACTTAGTCTATGTATCATAGCGTAGCAGATTGGTGAATATGACTTCCTTTCTTACCTTAGGAAAATCATGATCAACATTTCAACCCTTAAACTCAACCGAATCTGAAAGTTTGAAATGAAATTTGAGTTTTTCAAACCTTTCATTTCAAAAATAACACGCACATTGAAAACTAAAATCAAATAATTCGCTGCCTCGTGACATGTATCGCTGTGTTCTGTTGCTTTAGTGGTATTTATTATCGAAGAAATGAGCATTGGATTGAGGATACGACAAATTGATATATTCGAGATCATCCGTGATACAGTTTTGCCATAACAGTCACCTAAATGGTGAAGGCGTCAATACAACTTTCAAAGAAATTACTTCAGCTGTCAGGGATTCATATTGAATCACAAACATGTATTGCGTGTATGAAATGCAGGCACTTCTAATAACTACGTACAGCAACCTAGCATTACCATCACCTCAAAAACTAAATGGAATAAAAAGCAACGCATAATGTCGACTGTCCATTGTAACCATGATGCCTAACATTTAGAAATAAAAAAAGAGGTATGGACATTTTCCTGTTCTAATTGTAACGGCACTAATTGTAAACGCCACTTAAAAAATCTTTGAATCTTTACTTAAACCAACATACAGTGTATCATAGACTGAAGTTCAAACAACATTAATTCATATTCCAGAATATTCAATCATTTTTAAAAGTACTTACAGATCATGATTTAAAATTTACAACACTGGGATAAAATATTTATTTCAAAAAATGTATAGGAAATTCATTACAAATCAAAACAAAAAATATATCGATATTAAAGCTATAGTTATACAAATTGATCCATTTTCGTTCAAATTGTCAATGCCAAATTTTACAAAAAATATGTACACATTGCAGTAGCCAGTTTATCAGAATTCGCTACGACAAATATGTCTGAAGAGCTCAATTCGGATATTTGTAAAACTTCTGTAAAATCTGTTTTCGTAAATTAGATAATAAAAAACATTTATGGGAACATGGCCATACCTCCATTGCACATGTAGATTTCTAACAGAACACAAAGCATTACATTTGGCAAATTGGATAATTGTGTATAAGTTTGAACATACGTGATGAAAAAAGAGACAATAATCCATATAGCTGTTATCAATGGTAACACGAAAAGTCTTTTCCGCAGACAAACAAGGCAAGCAAAACTCATAACTCCAGGTAGATCTTTCTCGGACTCTGGTCCTCTGTCAATATAAAATATAAAAACTTATAACAAAAAATTATAAAGCTCCCTGAAGCTTCCATATGACAATTCAAACAAAGATGAATACCCCCAAAAAAATGAATTTAGAGAGTAAAGTTTGTTTTCCTTTTAGAAAAAAAAGTTTTTTTTTCGAGACAAACAATTTAATTCAACTAATATGAATATATATGGAAAAGTTTTTTTGTCTGTGCAAATCTTCTGTAAACCATTCAACACAGAAGACATTCATCCGCGCACACCAAAAACCACACAAACGACGTATGAAAACAATAACTACAATGTTCCTAATATCTATCATTTTAAATTATACTTTATCCAATACATTAATAATTTAAAACGTTAAATATTCTAAATAATTAAACACTGTAAGCATTTTAAAATAATCAAATACAGATATATAATATTATCATACTGTAATTTGAGTCAAATATCCATTGTTAGGTAATGTTCACTGAGATCGATACAATTTGTTCATTTGTGGTCCGAAAAATCAATTGAAAGTCACGGTACTCTATATTTAATATATGAATCCAGTGTCGTATCCTGAAATCTATATGATTGAGGAAACATTCTTTGTTCACAAGAAAGATGGAATACTACTAAAAAGTAGGAATCTTCACCAAAGTGTCTTGAATTTAATTCTCGTTTCCATTTAATGAATTTAGGAACTGAGTGTAGAATTATTCAGAAGATGAGGTTATTAGTAACTTTGAGCATAAAATTGACATAAAAAGAAAAAGTGAAAAGTGTCTTCTATCGGACTGCCACATCAATAGCATAGGTTTTTCAATATTGTTATTATTAACAATAATCAAGACTTTAAGTTAGAAATACGTGTGTTATTGTTATTACTTGAACATTTACTTAGCCTTCTTTTACATAATGTTTCGGTCTTAAGTGGTAGGGTTTTGCTCGTAAAGAATACTAAATTTTGGATATGGCAATGTAATAAAACAAACATTTAAAAGCTCCTGTACCTTTGTTTTATTTTTCGATTTAAATAAAAGACCAAATAAGAACTACTTTAATCTTTTTCTGATAATCATCAACACACATTTGCCCGTGGCAAGTGAGACGGACCGTCCGAACAGATAAACGTCAATTACTATGTGTTAATAAGGACATATGTTTTACATAAAAAAAAAGACAAGAATTCCCTGCAGGCGGTTATAGGTCAATGTGTTATCCCTCAATATTATATATACAGGGTTTAATTAAAATATTGAGAGAGAGAGTTTATATGTCAAACTCTGTCGACAAAGGTACACGATAAGATTTGAAAATGATAGCAATACTTGCTGCACTTCTTCCAATGAGAAGACATTGAGAATATTTCCAGATCTCTGTGTATGTAGTGAGACAATTATCAATTATATTTTGCACTCACTATTAGGATTATCTATCTAATAAATTTCAGGAAAAACATTAATCGTTGCCAGTTTGTATCTGGCTGTTTTTACAAAATCTTGTGAAAAAAAGACTCGTAAGTCAAGAAAATTTTAGTATAACTTAATTACAATCAATTTTAATTGTAAGATTCATTTCGTGGCGTGTTCATTGTTATTTGAAGGTCATCCAGTATAAACTTTAAAGGTCCGCTATAGAAGGAAAGACGTCAGCCAGTATAAACTTTAAAGGTCCGCTATAGAAGGAAAAGCGTCAGCGTCGATTCCATCCAATATAAACTTTAAATGTCCGCTATAGAAGGAAAGACGTCGGCGTCGATTCGTGTAATTTATAGGAGAATTTCTAAGAAATCACGATACACTACACTATATATGTATTGAAAAAAGATAATTGTAACACTACTAATTACTTATGAATATTTAAATGTGATTAAAAAATCAAAGATACTTACGAATCTTCTAGTCTTGAAAACAACATTTCCATTATTTACAAATTTATCACACACGACATTTTTTAATAAAATGATATTGTACATAAATGTATTGATTACAAATATAAATGTAACCGGATAGGCAATACATAGAAAATGTACCTACTTTAAAGATAAACCGTCACTCTACTTCCGACAAAAGTACTAATATATTGTTATAGTCAACAAACAAATTATATATGGTTTAAATTCATTTACAATAAGTTGTCAAAAATGACTGAGAAATGTATAACTTCCATGTCAAAGTTATTACCTTACAGGCACATTGTTTTTCCTTCTATAACGAAACAAATACACATTGTAGCATATTTTTGTGTTTTGATTTAAAGTTTTAGATTTCTTTAACGTGCAAAGTTGCAATAATTCTTCAAACATATAAACATGATAAATGCAAATCAGTGAATAAATCTTCAAAACTATAAGATTGTAATTTTCAAAAATATAAGTTTGTTGACGATTAAAAAAATTGCTTTCATTCAGATACGTTTATATTGTAATTTCTTATAATTTCAAATCTTAACCTCTAAAGAATCACATAAAATCATTAAAAATAAACGCACCTCTTTTCAATGTAAATTCCCTGCAAGAATAAATGCCAACCTAGATACCGTGCTTTTCTTGTCCAACAAAAACTGCACTTCCAATCAATAGACTAGCGCATAAAATTGAACACCTTTTTATCACCACGTAGACACAACAGACCCTCAGGTATCAACTTTATCAATAACAAATGATTGGGAATAATTAGTCTGTCAATTTTGTCACGACGGCGTCTCAGAAAACTACATATCTGTCAAAAACCTATTCAACTGTTGCTGACCAGGGGTGTTGGCTGGCATCTATTCTAGGACAATACACATGTCTTGGTTCTTGTACAAATGTACTAGCCATGCTAACTGTAGATTTAAGTTCAGGATTTTGCACCCGGGCAATCATAGATAATTACCTGCAGGATTCTGCATAATAATAACATTAACGGTGCTAGTTTTATTAAACCAAATACGCATTTTGACAATTAATGTATCTTCAAAAAACGCAAAAATATTTAAGAATCCCAAGCCTTATATAAATATGGAAGAGCTGATAAACCAAAATGGTCTAATACTACAGCCAATCCCGGACAAGGAATCACAGCTATACATGAGGGAGATACATTCCATAATTCCTATAACTATATTATAACCTGAATGTTCCTTCCGATCAAATCGACAATATGAACCTTAAGTTACTCTTATATGTGTACCTTGTTTGACAATCATATTCGCATATTGCTAATAACAGTTGAAAAGTTCAAACCATTTTTTTTATTATTTGCCTGAATATTTTACTTTAGCTCATCCGATTCGGTAGTCAACAATGTTAGTAGTGTTGTAGTCTCATGATTGGAATATGTTGTCGCAGCAATGTCAAGTTAAAAAAGACGGAAGATTCCAAAGTGAAAATAAAATTCATAAGTCGAAGATTTACCGATAAATTCATGGCAAAAAAACGAAAAACGACTTAAAGACAAATACCAGTTTACAAAACACAGCCATAAATAACTAAAGACTGAGCAACACAAACCGCCCTAAAGTAAAGGATAATTCTGATCGCTCATCGACATCCCAAACATATATATTTAATAAGTTTGAACAAAGTCTGTGGACCAGTGGTGATCATTCTCTTGTTATTTTCTCTGTTTTTTGTTTTATCTAATTTGCTTAAGATAAAAATAGACTTTAATTGTTTTTTTGGTTTTTTTTTTTTGCCTTCATATCAAACTTTTAAATATAAAAAAAAAACTAAATGTTTATTGTTTATTTTTGAATAGCGTGCAATGATTTGTAGGTGTGTATCTATCACTTTATCTCTTTTTGGTCTTTGAAGATTTTTTATGTGCATACGATATTTCGCAAAGTCGATTAGATTGCATATTCCATTGTAGTTTTACATTTATTTACATAGAAGTGTTATTATTTATCAGCAACAAGGTCCGGTTTTGGCACTTAACACGAAAAAGACAGGATAGAACAGCGATTCATATTGTCATACAAAAGCAGTTATATTGTATAAATTTGATGACAGAAAAATAGAAATACATGAAAAATTAATGTTTCAGTCCGAAACCATACTTATAAAGTATATTCTAAAAGTGCAACAATTCCTGTTTTATCCAAACAATTTGCCCGTTTTAAAACAAGAACAAAGATAAATTAATTATCTATTACTTCTATGTGAATTAGATACAGTCGTCCTATATCTTCGTACCTAACGCCACTCAGATTTTTCATGGAAGTAAAATAATACTTCCATGATATATCGATTGCATACGGTGAGGAAATTTTATTTAATTTACATTGGCTTATCGTGTGTTTTATCGTTTTAACGAGGTAGACGTAACATCAAATTTAGCCGACTTTCTGAAAATATTCATCACAATTATTAATTCTATATCAGATGGCATTCAAGGACGTATTAGAAAAAAAAGTTACAAAACTTTGCCTTGTGGAAAAAGGGTGGTGGTGAAATGAACGAGTCGCTGGGTTTACATTGGTGTTTCTAACCTTACCCGATCCGAGAAAAATCACTTGTTGAAAGAAAGGGAACACAAAATACATGCGCCATTTCACACACTAATTACTTTACAAACAGTCTGAATTGTAGGTGTTAAAATTTGATTGATTCTTGACTGGACGAGTTTAAAAATAAAGTACTTAGTAATCATTCATCAATGTATAAAAAGTGCAATCGTTCAGAAAAAAAATGCGTTTGTATTTTCATAAATATTCTTTGATTGATGGTAATTAGATTATGTATAGACTTGTCTTTACTATTTACATTCATGAATTAACCATCAAAGTGTAGATATTGTTTTACACTGCTTTGAATATGATGTATAATAATAATTAGCCTACGTGTTTGATAGCTCGTCGTGTTCTTTGGAGTATCAATCTGTCACCAAACCTTACAGACTATCACTGTAGAGGTTAAATAAAAACAGGAAAACCGTTAAAACCTCATCAAAAACCAACATTTTATCATTTGATTGTTTTATCAAAGAAAGTGTGAAAAAATGGAAGGTTGTCACGAAAAACAATCATTACCGGAAAATGATATGAGGTCCGATTTAATATATGGAATTATAAAAGCAGTTGAAGGGTATACATCAATGAGATAAGAAAACAAAAACACAACACACCAAAAGAGACAGTTGTCTATACAAGTTCAAAGCCCTCAGTCATTCCGAATCGGGAATACATTTTACAGACTGCCAAAATCTGCTACCAACATAATTTCTTTAATAAAAAAATAATTAAAGTCATATGAAACGGGTTTCTTGTAATTATAATGTAATCGAAATTATTGAACCAATGCATGCATATATACTGAATTTAATCCTGTATGCACGGTTTTTATCATTTATTACGAATCTATAAGGTATTACAGACAAATAATATTTCATTCTGTGATTGTTGATCGCAGGCTAATTAACTTTCGAATTTGGTGCCGATGTTTACCGGATCGTAACATTGATAAACATCAACACAGAGCATGTCAAGCACGTGAAAAAAAAGCAAATTAATAAAGCCATGATTTTTTTAATACATTTTCCATGCGTTCCCGTTTGCTAATTTAACTTTATCCTAACAGTTGTTACAGGATTTGGTGTGTTTAATTTGTTCTTTAGGAATCAGTTACTACTAATTACCTTCCAGTGCACGTTTGTTTACATTCTTTCGTCACGGTTTTCTCCCTCAAACTTGCGCTGTGCGGTGGCCGAAGTTCTAAAGAGAGGTCTTGTAGTTAAGGTCACTACATATGGGAAAATATCGGCGAAGTAGAGTACGGGAGTACAATAATTCACTGAGTAGCAGTACATTTATGAAGATTTTGATAATATAAAGGATGTTCATTTACAAGAAAGTTCTTGTAATCTTGTTTTATAGTAAAACTTAGATAGTTACAGAAAGGAATGCAATCATCATAATACACGTTGCTTCGAAAAGCAATTTTTTCTCACAAGAAATTTAATATCATAAAAAATGAAATAAAGGAGGAATCAGGTATCATTAATGATGGCAACCTATAACAGCTTCAGAACCCCAACCTTTATAGATGCGTAGGAATCACTGAAAGCTTCAGTGAACAAAATGTGGATATGAGAAAACAAAAGAAACCCAGCCAATTAGATGCGAAGGAATCTCTGGAAGCTTCAACGAACAAGAATCAGAGATAAGAAAACAAAAGAACCCCAACCTTTTAGATGCGAAGGAATCTCTTTAAGCTTCAGCGAACAAGAATCGGGGATGAGAAAACAAAAGAACGCCAACCATTATAGACCATATGTTTGTCTATGGATTTTTATATTGCTATCTTCCCAAAAATAGAAAACTATTTATAGATTTTATTACGAGTAGATGTACTTGCTGCAGCAAGGACTAGAATATGGACAAATCCTAACATCTTTTTTTTAAATAAATAAATAGTCTAAGTTTCCAGACTAAGAGTGCATTATATAGCACATTAATATATATATTACACATTAAAATATATAATCTTATCTTTTAAAACCATTAAATAGTAACCGTATTGCTTAAGTAATAAAAATGTCAAAGTTAACTTTTACTTTTACGATTCAAAATCCATCTAATGTATTATGTACAGTAAAGATATAACCATCAATTGAAGTAGAAAGCGGTATTTATAAAAGGGTAAAAATAAATGTACAAACTACATAAAATTTAGCCAAAAAACTACACAAAAACATGGTATATCTCTAATGAATTTCTTTTGCAAGATTAAGTATATAGCATGCTTCCTCATTAACTGATAACCTTGAAAAATGGAAAAATTAAAGTGAACTTCAAAATAACATTACCTGTTGTCAATGTCTGTTGTTAAGTGTACATTGTTGTTTGAAGTCTTCATATTTTTATAATTTGTTTCAAATCCACAAAAATGTTGTATTTGGGTGACACAAAAAACTAATTCCGTGGTAGCCACCTATAATCTGTAAATCTGTTTTTTACAACTCGATGAATATTACTATAGGTATGTCATGACTAGTTCAAAATATTTATTGAATGAAATGAAAATATTACGCTAATACATGATCGATTATATTACACAGTCAACAAAGAACTAGATCTAATAATATTATTTTAAAATTTAAATTCTTATTTTTGAATAAACGTTGTTAGACTTCAACAAAAATGCTTTACACCTGAAATTTAGTCTACGTATTTAGCGCTAGAATCTCTTATTTATATTACCTATTGATATAAGCCACAAATAGAAATCATAATGTTTAAGTAAAATTCGAAAATCATGGTTAAATAACATAAGGAGAAAATTAATGAACCATGGTTTGATTATATAAAGGGTATACGTGCCTTTAAGTAACTCATTCAATTGTACCAAAACAAATACGAAATCGTCTGAAAAACAGGAATCTATAAAGCTCCGAAGACATTCAATATGACGAAAGATCATTGGTGGTTAAGAGCAAAACTTGTTTAGATCGTGGGATAAAGCACTACTCATATATTACAGAATTACAGTGTTTATTAAGATAACAAGGAATACAACAGAAACAATATAAGTGGCTGAAAATCCTCTATGGAAGACTTGGGTATAACTGCTAACTGCTATTTATCCTTCAATCGACCTTTCTACTATACTAATACAGGTGTACAGATCACTCGAAGCGATATACGTATACTAGACGTATATAGTCTCCTGGTATCCTGCTTCTGTTGCGAGCGACCGATTATGTCAAATTACTGTTTACGTCACAGTTCAATTTGGGGTCATCATTGCGGTCCGCGTTTAAGTCATGTCGATTTCTTTCAAAAACAAATTCAACGAT